TGTTCACGTAGCATCTCACTTTTCCCTACCCCCCTGGGAAGTTCCAGCTGTTCGAGTCTGTTCTTTCTCACTCCCTTGCTCGAAAGCCCAACTGTCTACGGTAGCTTCCCGCTCTCTTTTTCTTGACCACTTCCACTCTCATTCTCATGCCATTGCAGAGTACACAAATGGCTTTCAGTCTTCTGACGGCGTAGGATTCGCAGCAGTGTTTCCGGACAGCGTCGTACGAGGGCATTTACTATCTTCGGCTAGTATCTTTACTGCTGAATTGTATGCCATTCTTGCATCATTTATCCGTATTGCATCTATGCCTGTGTCATCATTTGTGGTCGTCTCAGACTCCCTTAGTGCTTTACAGGCTATACAGAAATTTGATACACCTCACCCCTTAGTCCTCCGTATCCAACTTTGGCTACGCCGCATCAATACCAAGCATAAAGATATTGTTTTTTGTTGGGTCCCTGGTCATGTTGACGTACAGGGCAATGAACAGGCAGACACTGCTGCGCGGTCAGCAGTACATGACCTACAAGTTTCATATAGAGGTGTTCCATTTACGGACTACTTTGCTGCAATAGCTACCCACCTTCATACCCGTTGGCAACAATGTTGGTCTACTCTACTCGGTAACAAACTTCAATCTGTTAAACCGATTATAGGTTACTGGCCATCTTCTTGTCACCAGTGCCGAGGTTGGGAGACTACTCTCTCCCGTCTCCGCATTGGCCATACTCGTCTTACTCATGGATATCTCAAGGAGAGGCGCCCTGCTCTTCTCTCTGAGAATTGTCAGGTTCCATTATCGGTCAGCCACATTCTGTTAGACTGCCCACTTATCAACGAGCACCCAGAATTTACCTCCGTCGTCGTCTTCACTCCGCTGCTCTCTCTTTACCTTCCCTTCTCGCTGATGGACCCACCTTTCATTCGGACTCTCTCATTGACTTTTTGACAACAACTGACTTACTTCACAAACTCTGATGATACCTTCAGTCCTTTCTACCTCGATCTCTTGCTACCCTCTACCCTGCACTATCCCCTGCCCCGCTGTTTTCTGTAACCTACTGATCGCCTCTCCCTCTTCTGCCGCCCAATACCCTCGCTTCCTTTCCTACCCTGCAGCGCTGTATAGCCCTTGTGGCTTAGCGCTTCTTTTTGATTATAATAATAATAATAACTGGTGTTGGCTATTTTAATATGATTCGATTGTACAGTGGACCCCCGGTTAACGAACTTTTTTCATTCCAGTAGTATGTTCAGGTGCCAGTACTGACCGAATTTTTTCCCATAAGGAATATTGTGAAGTAGATTAGTCCATTTCAGACCCCCAAACATACACGTACAAACGCACTTACATAAATACACTTACATAATTGGTCGCATTTGGAGGTGATCGTTAAGCGGGGGTCCACTGTATTTGTATTTATTGATGCTTGTCTTTTTTTGTTTTGCTAGTTTTAACCCTTAAACTGTCCAAACGTAGATCTTCGTTTGCACGTGTAGCGCCGCGAACGTAGATCTGCGTTTTTTTTTTTTTTTTTTACATAAAGAATGTAAAATCGAACGTCGATTTACATTTGGACAGTTTAAGGGTTAAATTGGGGTGTTCTTGTTTGCATTGTATTTTTTAACTGTCAAGAGTGGTGAGTGATCTACCAAGTCAAAGCGCTCTTCAGATCGCAAAATTTCCTTCTTTCCTAATTTAGAAATCCGTGTCATGAGTGTATGGCAGTTTGATATTTGTATTGGCAGATGGATTTTTTTTTTTTTTTTTTTTTTTTTTTTTTTTTTTTTTTTTACATACTGGCTGCCATCCACTGAGGTAGGGTGACCCTAAAAAGAGGAAGCACATTCATCACCATTCATTCAATTGCTGTCTTTCCAGAAACTTGCTGAAATCACAGTTTAGATGAACTTTCGAATTGCACAATCCTCACCTCTAATTTAGGGCTGGTTGTAGATTTTGAGTGGCAGGTCATTCATTATTTGCATTTGTGGCAGCATTCATTAGTGGCAGGTCATTCATTATCTGCATTTGCAGGATAATCTTGACATCTATGTAAATCTAATGAATTTAATTGGTTTTGTTTCTGCTTTTTTTTTCTTTATTGTTTGGCATTTTTATGTATGAGATTCATTAATTTTTATTATTTTTCATTGCTGAGTTGAGAGGATGGCCTTGTAGGGAGGGAACATTTAGGGTTCTTGATAATCTTTGCTGGAGTGATTCCTTATATTCTTAGAGACCTAACTCAGGAACTCCTTTCAAAGTGGGTGCCTTGATACTAATGAATGAATCTTGATTCAAGGAATTGGAATTGCCACTCTCTGGGTCAAACCATGATTACCTCCAATTTCCCAGGCACTGTGTGACCCCTTGGGGATTTAGCTCTTCACCATGAATACTCAAAATAATAAAAAAAATTGTGAATCAAGTGTGTAGTATGCCAAACTTCCTGACCATTACTTTATAAGTGAACATTTATTAGCCCCCTAACTTCAATACTTTAAGTACCCTTATGCTTATCCTTTACCCATGGCCTTGTATTTCCCTCTAGAGAAACCAAATTCTCTCCTACAGATAGTTGTCATCCTATTGCTGTACAGTACTTTTTCTTATGTATTAACCATTTCTCACCAAGGTAGGATAACCCAAGAAAAGAAGTACTTTGCCCTCACTCATTCAATAACTGTCATGCCAGAAGTATTCCCAGTGTTTCAGTTTACCGAGGTGTTGTATTCCCAGTGTTTCAGTTTAGCGAGGAGTTGTATTCCCAGTGTTTCAGTTTACCGAGGAGTTGTATTCCCAGTGTTTCAGTTTAGCGAGGAGTTGTATTCCCAGTGTTTCAGTTTAGCGAGGAGTTGTATTCCCAGTGTTTCAGTTTAGTGAGGAGTTGTATTCCCAGTGTTTCAGTTTAGTGAGGAGTTGTATTCCCAGTGTTTCAGTTTACCGAGGAGTTGTATTCCCAGTGTTTCAGTTTACCGAGGAGTTGTATTCCCAGTGTTTCAGTTTACCGAGGAGTTGTATTCCCAGTGTTTCAGTTTACCGAGGAGTTGTATTCCCAGTGTTTCAGTTTACCAAGGAGTTGTATTCCCAGTGTTTCAGTTTACCGAGGAGTTGTATTCCCAGTGTTTCAGTTTACTGAGGAGTTGTATTCCCAGTGTTTCAGTTTAGCGAGGAGTTGTATTCCCAGTGTTTCAGTTTACCGAGGAGTTGTATTCCCAGTGTTTCAGTTTACCAAGGAGTTGTATTCCCAGTGTTTCAGTTTACCGAGGAGTTGTATTCCCAGTGTTTCAGTTTAGCGAGGAGTTGTATTCCCAGTGTTTCAGTTTACCAAGGAGTTGTATTCCCAGTGTTTCAGTTTACCGAGGAGTTGTATTCCCAGTGTTTCAGTTTAGCGAGGAGTTGTATTCCCAGTGTTTCAGTTTAGCGAGGAGTTGTATTCCCAGTGTTTCAGTTTAGCGAGGAGTTGTATTCCCAGTGTTTCAGTTTACCGAGGAGTTGTATTCCCAGTGTTTCAGTTTACCGAGGAGTTGTATTCCCAGTGTTTCAGTTTACCGAGGAGTTGTATTCCCAGTGTTTCAGTTTGCCGAGGAGTTGTATTCCCAGTGTTTCAGTTTACTGAGGAGTTGTATTCCCAGTGTTTCAGTTTACCAAGGAGTTGTATTCCCAGTGCTTCAGTTTACCGAGGAGTTGTATTCCCAGTGCTTCAGTTTACCAAGGAGTTGTATTCCCAGTGTTTCAGTTTACCAAGGAGTTGTATTCCCAGTGCTTCAGTTTACCAAGGAGTTGTATTTGCAGTGTTTGACACTATGACTTGAGTTATAGTTCTGATAAATATTTCAGCTTGACCATGAATCATTTGTAACCTTGAAATTATTAACCTATAGAACACAGTAATATAAAAGACAGTGTTCGTAAATGCAGACTGGCATTTATTAAACAATTATTTTGTCATTAATGTGTGTGTGTTGGACTTCATTATAAAGTGTGGATCATCATACCTCATGCACTCACAACCTGATGATTTCAGTATGCAGACACTCCTCACTTAACGACCGAGTTTTGTTCCTAAGAGTAGGTCGGTGAGCGAACTGGTCATTAAGCGAGGAGTATACTGTACTGGGTTTGTGTCAACCATCTTTAGATATTGTTTTAATGCCACCTTTGCACCATTTATAACATTTTTAGTATATTTTAAAATTTATATAATAGTGTATTGTATATTATAATAAACAGAAAAGAGGAAATCAGCTCCAATATACATTACTTAGGTTTGCATACTGGTCGGAGAACTGATCGTAAATCCAAGCAATTATAAAACGGGTTAATTGAGGAGTGTCTGTACTGTACTGTCGTTTCACTGTCTCGACCAATTTTATGAAGTCTTTGGCGTATGTGGTTTGACTTGGACAAAGTTTTAGCATATATGAATATTTTCTATCAAGTTTTATCTCTCGTGGCACCTTGCCACACTGTCCCCTAGTAAACCATTGTTTTGATTATTAATCAAATCCAGTTGTCTTGCTGATGTTGATATTCGTTTTCCAGGCACACTATAAAATCTCGAGTGTTGGAACAAAATCAGTACTTAACCCTTAAACGGTCCAAACAAATCGACGTTCAAATTCGTAGCTACAAAAGTAGATCTACTTTTTTTTACATATTTTCAAATATAACAAAAAAAAAATGTAGATAGAAGTTTTTTTTACACGTTTTCAAATGTAAAACAAAAAAGATTACATTTTTTTACGTACTTTCAGATGCTGAAAAAACGTATATATACGTTTGGACCGTTTAAGGGTTAAACTTCTTAGTTAATTGAAAAGCTTTGCTGCAGAGAATCCATATTGAACTAACACAGTACTGTACATCAGACTTACATTGGCTCATAATATGTTCCATTTATTAGTAGTTCTTAAGATATAATTATAATTTATTACTTTATCAATAGATACATGAATTTATATAATCATTTTGTCTTAATAATTTTCAACAGAAGTTGAAAACAGTGTTGGCAGCAGAAAAATGTGCGGCGGCAACCCAGATGCGATAGGGCGCATGTTGGCCTTTGGGAAAGAGGTTCAACACATGAGCCAGGTTCTGCGGAGAGAATTAGGCAAGAACGATCACAACAAGAAAATACTTCAAGTAAGTTGAGTGAACAGTTATCCCAGTTTCCCTTTTTACCACAGCATTTTCAAGTGGCAAGTGGTTTTTTATAATTTGATGTGCTGTTGGAGTGTGAGCAAAGTAACATTTATGAAGGGATTCAGGGAAACTGGTTAGCCAGACTTGAGTCCTGGAGGTGGGAAGTGCAGCGCCTGCACTCTGAAGGAGAGGCATTAATATGTTGCAGTGATGAAGTAAAAGCAAAAGCAGTGATAATGTGTGAGTGTGGTGAAAGTGTTGAATGATGATGAAAGTATTTTCTTTTTGGGGATTTTCTTTCTTTTTTGGGTCAACCTGCCTCGGTGGGAGACGACCGACTTGTTGAAAAAAAAAAAAATGAAGTAAATGATGATGAAAGTGTTTCTCCTTCGAGTCACCCTGATTTGGTGGGAAACGGCTGATGTGTTAATACAGTGGACCCCCACTTTACGATCAGCTCCCAATGCGACCAATTATGTAAGTGTATTTATGTAAGTGCGTTTGTACGTGTATGTTTGGGGGTCTGAAATGGACTAATCTAATTCACAATTTTCCTTATGGGAACAAATTCATTCAGTACTGGCACCTGAACATACTTCTGGAATGAAATAATATCGTAAACCGGGGGTCCACTGTATATAATAATTTAACCCTTTCAGGGTCCAGAGGCCAAATTTTAGTGTCCAAGAATTTTCAAAAAAATAATTTTGCTATTTTTTCTTATGAAATGGTAGAGAATCTTTTTCTGAAGGTAATAAAAGAAAAAGTACGAAATTTGATGGAAAATTGATGAAATTATGCTCTTGCGAATTTTGATGTGTCAGGGATATTTACACATCAGTGATTTTGCCGAATTTGACTCCCATTTTAGGCCAATTACATTATTCCAGTCGACCAAATTCTTAGCTATTTCACTAGTATTACTTCTATTCGATTGAGCACAAGAATTTGCCAGGTCAACTGTTTCAACTACAAAATAAAGTGATCGGAAATTGTTAATTTGGCCAATGTAATACAAAGTTCAAAATACAGTGGACCCCCGATTAACGATCTTTTTTCATTCCAGAAGTATGTTCAGGTACCAGTACTGACCGAATTTGTTCCCATAAGGAATATTGTGAAGTAGATTAGTCCATTTCAGACCCCCAAACATACACGTACAAACGCACTTACATAAATACACTTACATAATTGGTCGCATTGGGAGGTGGTCGTTAAGTGGGGGTCCACTGTATTCCAGTTTCAAAATAGGGTCCAGAATAAACAATGCAGACATTCCTGGCACTAAACTAACATTTCCTCTGTTCATTAGTTATGTTTTGAGGCTTTACAAATGAATTCCATTTTGATTTTTTATTCACATAATGAATTTTTATTCAAACCAAAAAATAGAAGATTTACTGTTATGCAATATTGTAATAATTGTATAAATAATATCACCACATTTGTGAATGTATATTAGACCCACCAGCAGGCGTGTATTAGACGTGTGAGGTCATTTGTTTACTCTTGAACATCGGCAAAAATTTAACATTTCTGCTATTTTGAGCTCAATTCCAAGCCATTTACAGTACTTAAATCAATCAAATTCATCTCTGTTTCTGTAATATATCTTCCATTTTATCAAATGAGACCAAGAAATCGCAAATACAACTACAAAAAACATACAGAAAAACACTGCAAAGTCGCTGTTTTAATCGAAAGTTACGGTCTGTTTTTTTCTCTTATTATGCACTATGTGCTGCAGGATTTGTTTTATGTGGTGCACACATACCACATAGATGTATTCTCTCATATCTAGGCCAAAATTTACCGCTCACAGCTTATCAGAGTGAACTGAGCTCATGGCGTAGATCTACAGTTTGGACCCTCAACGTAAAGCCGTAGATCTACGGCACGGACCCTCAAAGGGTTAAATAAAGAGCTTTGAATAGCTGCTTTATTGTTTAGTTTCATGGTAGTAATGGGGCATATGACTCATGGGAGTTTAATGATTTCTTGTGATTATAATAATTAAGATTGGGTTTGATTGGTGTCAGTGGGTACGGGAGTTATTTCTTGGGTAGCTTGAGGTAGAGGTCGTTTTGATAAGGACCTGCCTTGCATGGGCCAGTAGGCCTTCTGCAGTGTTCCTCCATTCTTATGTTCTTATTTTTTTGATGTAGGATCAAGAGTGCATGTACTTAAGGCCATCATTATTGAGTATATTCTGGTGCTGGGACCTTAGTCCCAGCATTGGTATATCAAAAGTATTAGTCACTTCAGAGGTCCTAGGTGTATGCTTTTGTCGTTTCATCTATACATTGTCAGTATCATTATACCTTCTATCTTTATTTAATGATGATAACCCTAATATTGATATATAAAAGGATGTCTTGATATCTTGTATTAATATTTTGAAATCATTTCAGGATGCTTTTAGTCTTCTAGCATACAATGACCCTTGGAATAGTCCTGTTGGTTGGCAGTTAGATCCATTACAACGGGAACCTGTATGTCAGTCTTTAAATTCTGCAATTTTAGGTATGTATTGAAGCGTGACATGTGGAGTGCAAGTTTCAGGTAAGTGAGATTGTATGAACTTGCTCTGTAATGACATTGCTGAAAGTAACTAATTAATGATTAGTCTTAAATTTGAGCACAAATGTTTTCTGTGGCTCACTACAGTATCTGAAACTTGAGTACAAATGTATTCTTACTGATTAAAGAATTATGATAACTTAAACTTTAATGCAAATGGATTTTGTTTGACTAAAGAATGTATTATTTTTGATTGAAGAATTAACAGTACCCTAAACTTGAGCACAAATGGATTCTGTTGCTGTGGTTGTTGAACTTACCCAACAGAGGAAACAGAACATTTGGAAGTCAGTGCCAGTTGTTGGTTTGGAACTTATAAGTTATGGGGGAGCTTAGACGCAAAGCTAGCATGCGTGAGACATCATTACTGATAAAAAGCAACATAGACAAATATGATTTCAAGGTGATTTGCTATAACCCCTACCTTATCACTGTATATTACTAGGAAAATAATTTTATCCTTGTACTTTGACCCATCTTATAATTTCCAGAGTCTCATCACTTGCCAAGAAGACCCCCTCTAGAGATCTGTGTGGCGCACACAAAGCAGCTGATCAGTCTGATGTCCCGTTCGGGTATTGGGTCGTGTGCCTTCGCCAGCGTAGATTCTTTACTCGGCAGCCAACAGTGACACTCCCTTTGTGGGCCCTTAGCTACTCTCTCAGGGGCCACCAAGCCACTTATCTCATGTTTTGGACTGAATTCCACAACATATTTTAAAGTCTGCTTGGCAAAGTCCATATCACAAGCAGTCAGTGATGTTTTTGAGGGACATACCCAATCAAATTGCTGATAAAAATAGCTCAAGTGCATCTTTTACAAGTTAAACTCGGTTGACACCATGGAATTCGGGACATTTTATCTTGCTCTGGAGTCAGGGAAATGCTTCATTAACCTCAAGTGAATTAAGAAGGAATAATTTCTTCGATACGCTCAAGGTTTATTGTACATAGGTTTAATTATTTCCTTTAATTGTAGCCCACCATCAAGCTTGCTCATGGTGATGAGGCAAGCTGCTATGAGCATTAAAAACATTTTCTGCAAGGTTGATGAGGTATATTGACCCTTATTGGAAAACTAAATGCTACAGGTCATGTTGCCATTAATACTTTTCTGTATTTTAATTGTGGGAGTGTGAATCATTTCCTTGACAAAGGAAGCAATCATTGTAGATCTCTAAATCAGAAAGTGGAATGTTGACTTTATTTTTTACAGATGTTCAATTAAGTTATTCCACACAGTTGTGATGCCATTGTGTGACGTGCAGTATTGGTTACGAGTACTGTATTTAGTTACGAGCAAATGAATGCAAGGTGAATACATGCATCTTGGTTATGCCTTTGTTAGTTCTCATATTTATTGTATCTCCTTTTGCAGCATTTTATTTTCTTTGGAAAGGCAACTATGGTAGTCTTGAGTTTTATCATGACATTGAAAATACATCAAAAATAAATGCACCATAAATGCCAAGGCATCAGGTGGAGACTGTGTGGGCAGCCTGAGGTCACTTTCACATTATAATTTAGGACGGGTTATGTGCAAAACAAAAATATAAAGCGGCATTCTCTCTCTTGCACCTGTATAGTTGTGAAGCATTGTTTAAATATGTACTATTTCACAGATCAATGGTCAAAATCTAAATTTGTTTTTAGTTACATGTGGTTTTCAGTCTGGTAGCGTGCAGCTCGGCAGAAATGCTTGCCAGTCACTGAGGGCAAACCCATTCTGTAAGGCATGAAATCTTGTTTCCTTGGTTATAAATTTTATAAAAGGGTCATTAGCACACATCTTTGTGTAAACACAGCAGAAAGTGGCTTGTTTGCACTAGTATATTCTCAATTGGAGCTTAACCTTTTATTCATTTTCATTTTACAACAGTTCTCAGCCAAAGTTGCTGAACAAGCAACCAGTCGTGGTTAAAGTAACCTGCTCACAAAACCATGGGGGTTGCAGCTCTCTCTCGTAGATGCTTTTAAAATTGAAGTGAAAAATATGAACAATATTGCATAGAATTTAGGACTGTGGTAAGTGTAAATTTAATTTGCTTTGTGATAACAAGGATAACTGAAGTGACGAAACGGTTAAGGAATTACTATTGTGTATGTATGAGTGAGCAGGTTTTCCTATACAGGATAACCCTATTCATACAGCACTATATATGGCACCAGTCGTCCTTCCCTTACGCAACTGTTGTACAAGAATGGTGGAGCAGCAGTCAAAGCACCAAACATAATAAACAATGGCTCAATTGATAGCCAACAAAAATGCGGAATACTGTAAAGATGTGCTGTATATGCGGGGGCCTCCGTATTGGCCACTGCTGTTTGGTTTATTGAATGTGAATTAGGAGGTTTCACCTGATGCACTCAGTCCTTCACTTCTGCACTATGATCACATACATTTGTCAACTTAAATTCACAAAGGAGAATAGTCCTCCTTTCCTGATAAGTAATAAAAATCTGTCTAGGTAATGAGTCTTTTACAATATACACACAAACACACAACCAAAATAATAACTCAACTCTTCTTGAGGAAAGCTGGGAATTATTATTTGTAAGTCATAATAATAGTAACTGATTTTGCAAATGCTCACATATTAACCTGCAAGACCAGAGAGTTTTAACTCTGATGTTGAGTTTATTCTGCGGTGAAGCTGAATCAGAGACAAGAATGAACCTTTTGTTTAACAGTGATTTGCTTTCAGCGGAGATTTTTAAGCACCAACAGAGCTCCGTTGATAAGGAAATTCTGTTCAGTAAAAGATGAACTATGCACATGTGTCTGATTCTTTGTTTTTCAGCCTCTGCAAAACATGTGTCTGATTCTTTGTTTTTCAGCCTCTGCAAAACATGTGTCTGATCCTTCGTTTTTCAGCCTCTGCAAAACATGTGTCTGATCCTTCGTTTTTCAGCCTCTGCAAAACATGTGTCTGATCCTTCGTTTTTCAGCCTCTGCAAAACATGTGTCTGATCCTTCGTTTTTCAGCCTCTGCAAAACATGTGTCTGATCCTTCGTTTTTCAGCCTCTGCAAAACATTGCATTCAGTGAAGGTTTTGTGTTGTGGTGCCTCTTATTCTCTAACCTTGTGCAAGTCCGTCTTGGTGTTGCCATTCTCTCTTGAAATTGGGTCAGTGATATATTTTGGAATATTAACGTTAAATAACATTTCTGTCTCCCTAAAAGGTGCTCATTACTTTATTTTAGTTAGATTACACCCTCAGACTTTAAGAGTACAAGGTGTGCAAGCTTCATCAGCCATAGAGTTTGACAGTAACAAGGTATTGTATACTAATTATTGCCTCCTGGCTGAAAGTAACAAGTAGCGAATGATATACAAATTTGAATGAAGAATCACGAGTCTAATAGAGTAGGGTTATATTAGGGTAATTATAACAGAAAGATAATTTATTGGTTATATTTTGAGGAAGAGGAATTTGTGTGGATGATGGCGTGCCTGTACTTGAGCAAGATTGATTATATATGACTTGGAAGGGGTTTGTTATTGTTGCAGAATGATGTTCTTCATTATGATGCATGCAGGTTGTTGAGAATGGATGCCAAATCATGTTTAAATATTTTTTTTATTGCTGTAAACATTACTGAAGTATATAGAGTATAGCTAACCAAATTTGATGAGGTTAACCAGTTTTTTTCTTATAAATTAGTGAATATCCATTGCTTCCTGCTGTCAGTGCTTGTGATGATGATGATGATGATGATGATGATGATGATGAGTGCATTTTAAAAACCATATTGTTAACTTTTAGTAGTTTTCCTCCCAGTAAATCACAAGCTTTACACATTATAAGTTTTATTTAGAAGATTTCCTTTGTTTTTAAAAAAAGCGGAAATTCATTTTCATCCAAAATTAGAGCCTATATAATAGACTGCCAACAAATATAATACAGAACTCAAATAACTAATTGACACTGTACCTAAAAAATCTATTTACAGTACACATAACTCACGTAAAAATGCTGTTGTAATGTTAATGCATTTTTCAGTATTTTCAATATTGCCATTACAGATACATAGTCTTTGATAAACAAATTATGTAATAGCAAGGATTAACTTGAACAAATACATGATATAAAAAGATTACGTTGTTTGTCTAACCTCACAGAAAATTGCGATAAATTTCTGGAATAAATGTATGTAGACGCTTACAAAGAAAGTGATTGTGTGAATGATGGTGTAAGTGTTTCTTTTTTGGGTCACCCTGCCTCAGTGGGAGATGGCTGGCATGTTAAAAAAGAAAGGTTATTAATAGGGTTATATTTGTTCAGATCTGTAATGTCGGCATGCCTCTGGCAAGACGGTAGTGGCGTGAGTGGCGGTGAAGGTGTTTCTTCTTTTTTGGGTCTCCCTACCCTGGTGGGAGACAGTTGGTGTGTTAAAACAAAAAGGTACAATACCGTGACTGGAACAATACATAGATAACCCGGATACAAAAGAATGAAATATATGATGATGTTTTAGTCCAACTTGACACACTGTAACACACTGACACGTGAAGGTAAGGGAGCCAGTATGTATACTGCGTACTGACTCCCTTACCTTCATGTGTTAGTGTGACTAATTAATGGTTCAAGTCGGTCCAAAATGTCTTTGTATTTTTCTTTTTCCTATGTGCGGGTTACTTATGTACTGTAAGAAAATAAACATTAAATTTATAGCTACACAACTATTTGTTGTTTCCCGTCACAGTCTAATCTATCATTTAATATTTTTAAGTTTCTGGTTTATTTTTTGACTTGTGAAGACTGTATGCTCTGGCAGGGCAGCTATTGATTGAATAATGGTGAATGTGTTTCCTTTTTTGGGTCACCCTGTCTTGGGAAATGCTGATGTAAAAAAAAAAAATAATTCCCATGGCTGTACAACTTTAAATCTCTGACCTGTGTGTCTTTCCTGATGGTTATTTCTATATTTGTGGAGATGTGTCAAACCCATATGGGTCATACAGCACCTGGGAATTATTAGGCATTCTGGTTTGATCCAAGGAAGGGTGGCTCCAAATCCTTGGACCAAGAAACTTTTTTTTTATGATACTCTGTCTCCCACTGAGGCAGGGTGACCCAACAGAAGAAAACACTTTAACTATCACTCATTCAACCTCTGCCTTGCTAGAAGGGTGCTGACATCACAGTTCGAATGACCCTTTAAGCTGCAATATATTTATGGGGAAGCCTTAAACCCACAGGGGGCATACAGTACCCGAGGAATGGGAGGTAGTTAGGTTTGACCTGTAGAAAGGGACAGTTATTTCAGGTCCTTGGATCATGTATCATTCAGTATCAACACTTCACTTGAAAGGTCATCTTGTTGATCATGTCACAAAATCTCTCTCCATTAATATTTTCTACTCAACGTGCACATAGGAGAGAGGAGCTTACGATGACGTTTCGGTCCGACTTGGACCATTTACAAAGTCACACCTCTTCTTTTTGATTATAATAATAATACAAAGTCACACCGACTGAAAAAGTCATCGTAGGTTCCTGTCTCCTATGTGCGGGTTGTTTGTGTATTGTTCCAGTCATGATATTGTTTCTTTTTGTTATTTAATATAATTTTCTAACTTACATATGGTTACCATGTCTCTGCCATAAAACTGGGTTTTTTGAGTGTGTGTTTTCAGCATTAATATTATTAGCATTTTTATTAGCATTGGGAGCTATGTTATAGCTCATCTTTGGATTTTTTCCATCTTGCTGATGAGTTTTAGTTGTGGAAACCATCCCAACTCTAAATTTTGCTTTATATCTGTTGTGAAGAGCAGTGCCTGCACTCTGGAGGAGTAGTAAGGATGCTGCAGGACTGGATGTGGGAAGGGCAGTGCCTGCACTCTGGAGGAGTGGTAAGGATGCTGCAGGACTGGATGTTTGAAGGGCAGTGCCTGCACTCTGGAGGATGCATGAGGATGTTGCAGGACTGGAAGTGAGAAGTACAGTGCCTGCACTCTGAAGGATGCATGGGGATGTTGCAAGACTGGAGGTGAGAAGTACAGTGCCTGCCCTCTGAAGGATGAGTGAGGATGTTGCATTCAGAGGGTAGTAATCAGATGTCAGAACACTTTTGGAAAGAGCAATTGAATGAATGATGGTGAACGTATTTTCTTCTTTTGGTCTCCCTACCCTGGTAGTTTGCCTAAATTTCAATATTTTATAAATTATTTGAATAATTTTAGCCAAAACGGGTTGATGTAAAAAAAAAACTTTCGGATAAATGTGATTTTAAAAAGATATGAGAAATAATTTATCTTTAGTAAAAAAATCATTGACTGTTGTTAGATAAATTTAGCAGTGGTTAATATTTAATTGTTACCTGATCTTAAAAATCAGCCTTAAAACCTATAAAAGTTTTTTTGTCATGAGTTTGCTACTCTGGTTGCTGTAGATGGTTTTCTGTTCTTTACTGCTGTTGTGTCTCATTGTAAACATATGTAACACTGAGAAATATTATATAAAGTACTTTATTTTCAGAAAACTGGATACAAAAGGTTACATATTTTTTTTCTTGTTAAAAAACCCTTGTTTATAGCCTTGATTCAGGTCAGTGCAAGAAAAACATGAGTGTAATATAAAGGCTTGTGCTATATTGCCTGTGACTAGAACATACGCCAAAGACACTTATGGTGATGTTATAAGTGTCTTTCTCCTATGTGAAACTTGTTTGTGTATTGCCTCTTATTGTATCCACTTAATATCTGGCTGCCCCAGTCACCATACTGTTGTCATCTGTGAATAACACATGTAGTACTGCAATATTCACTCATTACTACGACTGGGTCACTGTACAGTAAGTCCACAACTTACATATTGGGGACCTGAATTGTGTATAATAATGATATAATAATAATATACACAATGATAATATACAGGTGCACATCCCTTTATCTGAAACCCTTGGAGCCTGTATTGTTTCGAATTTTAGACTTTTTCAAATTTCAGAATGATTCTCAATGCCGCCACATGGTGGCGTGACCCAGCACGGAGATGACTGATACTCCACACTCCACGAAAAAACTTCGGTTTTTGAAACTTTTTTAATTTCAGAATTTCGGATAAAGGGATTTGAATCTGTACATGATACAGAAGATTCTCAACATGTCTGTAAGTCGAGGATTTACTGTACTCTCCGCACTACATTTATTGAGATTGTCCGCCTGCAGGCATTTCAACAATTGATGAAGCTCCTGCGAGTGAAATATGTCTATAGTAAATGTGCTAATTGTTGGTATTTAATACCATCTCTTAGCTGTTGTGGTTGCTGACTCCTGGTATTTTAAAAACTATAAAAGGCATTATAGATAGAGGTGACCATTGATTGTTGGTTCAAGAATCATATAGACTTTACATTTGTTATACTTAAGCTTTATTTATAAAATGTGATTTTAATTTTGATACCATTTCATATATATGTGTTTTCATATTACAGATTGATGTTTGCGGAAGTTAATTAGCATTTCTCACCATTACTTGAAATTTCACTTGCTGACAACAGAATATAAGTCACTAAGGCTTCTTTCAAAATGCCTATGAGAGCAGTTTCTTCCAAAAAAAAAAAAATTGACATTACCTTTTCACTATTAACCCTTAAACTGTCCAAACATAGATCTATGTTTTTTTATATGCTTTCAAATGGAGAAAGTAAAAGTCGGAGCGCTACGCGAGTGAATGTAGATCTACATTTGGACAGTTTAAGGGTTAAGAATTATTATTATTATTACATTGGGAAGAGCTAAACCTACAGGGGTAATACAGTACCTGGGACCTTTCATTCTTTGGTAATCCTTGAGTTTAATCAAATTCATGTGGTATGGTATATATTTCTTCGGAAAGTCTTTCAAGGGCAGTGCCTTGATTCTGGTGAAAGGCTCTTGATTTAGTGAACTGGAGCTACCTTAAAGAACAAAAAGACACAATACAGTGACTGGAACAATACACAAATAGTCTGCACGCAGGAAAGAGCAGCTTATGATGACAGTTCCGTCCAAGTCAGACCGAAATGTCGTTGTGAGCTCCTCTCTCCTATATGCGGGTTATTTGTGTATGGAGCTCCCTTTCCCTTCCTTGGATTAAACCTGATTGCTTCCCATTCCCCAGCTGCTGTGACACCCTATGAGTTTACCATTTCCTCTGGGATAGAATTTTTTCAGAATGAAATTAAAATTAATTACATGCATTTCCATCTGTGTTTTTATAATTTTAATACATATAGGATTTATTTAAAATGTTAAAGTGCATATATTGTATATTGCAGTTCACTATCTTTGCAGAGGCGCTCAGATACGACAGTTTAGAAGTCCCTCCAAATTGCCAATATCCCAAACCCCTCCTTGAAAGTGCAGGCATTGTACTTCCCATTTCCAGGACTCAAGTCCGGCTAACCAGTTTCCCTAAATCCTTTCACTAAATATTACCCTGCTCACACTCCAACAGCTCGTCAGGTCCCAAAAACCATTCGTCTCTATTCACTCCTAACACACACACACACACTTGCTGGAAATCCAAGTCCCTTGCCCACAAAACCTCCTTTACCCCCTCCCTCCAACCTTTTCGAGGATGGCCCCTACCCCTCCTTCCTTCTCCTACAGATTTATACACTCTCCATGTCATTCTACTTTGATCCATTCTCTAAATGACCAAACCACCTCAACAACCCCTCTTCAGCCCTCTGACTAATACTTTTAGTAAGCCCACACCTCCTAATTTCCACACTCTAAATTCTCTGCATAATATTTACACCACACGTTGCCCTTACATACGACATCTCCACTGCCTCCAGCTGCCTCATCACCACAGCATTTACAACCCAAGCTTCACACTCATATAAGTGTTGGTACCACTATACTTTCATACATTCCCTTCTTTGCCTCCATGCATAACGTTTTTTGTCTCCACAGATACCTCGATGCACCACTACCTTTTTCCTTCATCAATTCTATTATTAACCTCATCTTTCATAAGCTCATCCGCTGACAAGTACATACCAACATATAAATGGTTATAACTATGGCCATAATTTTTAAAGGGGTAGACCAGTAAGCCAGCTGAAGGCCTCAGTCAGATGACCAGAAGCTCCAGTTGTGGGTCATCTGACTAAGACCCACATCAGGAAAAGCTCGTCCTGTTTCCTGATGAACCTTACCTAACCTAACCTTCTTATCTATATATATTAACCCTTAAACTGTCCAAACGTAGATCTACGTTCGCTCGCTTAGCGCTCCGAATGTAGATCTACATTTTTTACATACTTTCTTATGGAGAAAATCAAGGTCCGAGCACTACGCGCACAAACGCAGATCTACGTTTGGACAGTTTAAAGGTTAATGAATGTGTCTAAAGTGATACTTGACAGGTAGTGAATGCTTGACACGCAACCTTGTTGACCCTTGGCATGGCTAATAAGCTCTAAACCCAATTGACCAACCAATTAACCATCTGGAAATTATTTGCTTGTGGGTAATGAATGATGTAACCAATAGATCAGTGATAAAAAAAATTATTAATTTTTTCATTTTTTAACTGCTCATATTATTATTAATGAGGCATTATGGTGTTGGGCGTTGACCATTAGGCAGATTACAAGACAATGAATGTGTAAACATTTTTGAAGACCAAATAACGTTACTGTAACATCCACTGTATAATCCTACGGGTTTAGCACTTCCCCATTATAATAATAATTGTAACATCCAGTGTTGACTTTGGTAATGTGTTAAACCATTCTGACTTGGTAACACTACATAATAATTCTGACTTGTTAACATTACCTAATTCTGAGTTGCCTTACATGCTTCCTGTCTCATCAACATTCTGAGGTCCATCTGAGTTTATCTTCACCTGGTTTTGGGGGGTCGCTGATGCATGGCAGTGATACCTGTGTATATATGAGAATATAAAAATACAATTTATGAATAGTTTTAAATTCTTTCTTTCCCCTTTATTAAAAAATTGATTCACCGAGTAACACAAATTTGACGTGGAACTAGACAATATTTCAGTCTCGCTTCATTTTTTCATTAGCTACATAAAACCTGTGAGATCAAGAGAGAATACATGATGCTGGCTTAAATGGGTTGGGGTTTGAACCCATGGCCAATGCTGTATGACCCTCGTAGGTTTAGCGTTTAGCTGTGATTATTATAATGAACCCATGGCAAGCACGTTGTAAAATTCTCCAGCCAGCGTGCTTACCACTTGGCCTGTGAGTTTCAGGACTCGCCTGCCATGGGTTCAAACCCTATCCATTCCCTGATTTGTTTAATTGTTATACGTATTACAATTTTGACCCCTCGAGGGAGGTTCCTTGATGTTGGTGAGGGGCTCTTGATCTAGGGAACTGTATCTGTGCTCCAGTTCCCTGAATTTAACCGGAATACCTTCAATTCCTCCCCCCCCCCTCCACAGGCGCTGTATAATCCTACAGTTTTAGCGCTTACCCATTTTTTTTTTTTTTTTTTTTTTTTTTCAACAAGTCGGCCGTCTCCCACCGAGGCAGGGTGACCCAAAAAAGAAAGAAAATCCCCAAAAAGAAAATACTTTCATCATCATTCAACACTTTCACCACACTCGCACATTATCACTGTTTTTGCAGAGGTGCTCAGAATACAACAGTCTAGAAGCATAAACATATAAAGATACACAACATATCCCTCCAAACTGCCATAATTATAATAATAATAATTATAATTATAATATAATAATTATAATAATTACACCAACTTTGATGATGTGCACCTCCTTTATCACTAGTCACTGCCCTTGCTAACTCTACCTCTGTTATGCTCTTCATCCTCACTGATCTCTGATCAGGCATATTACATCTTTTAGCACACCCTACCCTGCAGCTTGTATGACCCTTATGGGTTTAGCACTTAGTTGTAATTATAATATGCTGTGTCATATGGTTTTTGTTACTACAAGAATGCAGTCCTTGATGATATTCCAGGTAAAAAAAATATAAACATACACGTACAAACGCACTTACATAAATACACTAACATAATTGGTCGCATTGGGAGCTGATCGTAAACCCGGGGTCCACTATTTTGATTTTTTGTGGTTCAGTTCTCAGGGATATGAAGCATTTCCCAGCCTTTCTCTTGTCATAAAATAGATTCCAACTTCACAATAGTGTGAAGGATCTGGGAGTGATAATGTCAGAGAATCCTTGAGCATACCTGGAGAGAATTCCGGGGGTCAACAACCCTGCGGCCTGGTCTGTGACCAGGCCTCATGGTGGATTAGGACCTGATCATCCAGGCTGTAACTGCTGGCTACATGTAATCCAACGTACGAACCACAGCCTGGCTGGTCAGGTACTGACTTTAGGTGCTTGTCCAGTGCCTGCTGGAAGACAGCCAGGGGTCTATTGGTAATCCCCCTGATGTATGCTGGGAGGCAGTTGAACAATCTTCTCCTTTTCCATGATCATAACAGTTTTTTTACCACATCTGCTAGGAAAATGAAAGAATGGATAATGAGAACCTTCAAAACTAGGGATGCCAAACTAATGATTCTCTTCAAATCACTTTTTCTCTCTAGGATGGAATACTGCTGTACACTAACAGGCCCTTCAAGGAAGATGAAATTGCTGACCCGGAGAATATACAGAGAAATTTTACTGCATGTATAAGTATATTAAGGTGCCTAAATTACTGAAAACAGTTGAAGTCACTTGATTTGTGTTCCCTGGAATGCAGACGAGAAAGATACATAATCACATACATGTGGAAAATCTTTGAGAGACTAGTTCAGAATCAGTACACGGAAATCATTCCCTTTGAAAGCAAAAGACTTGGCAGGCAGTGCAATGTAACCCCAATTAAAAGCAGGGGTGCCTTAAGTATGCTAAGAGACAACACAACAAGTGTCAGGGGCCCGAGACTGTTCAACTGCCTCCCAGCATACATTAATGGGATTATCAGTAGACCTCTGGCTGTCTTCAAGAAGACGCTGAGAGGCACCTAAAGTTAGTACCTGACTAGCCAGGCTGTGGTTTGTACGTCAGTTTGCTTGTGGCTGGGAGCAACAGTATGGTTGATCAGACCTTGATCCACTGCGAGGTCTGGTCATAGACCAGGCTGTGGGGTGACCCCCAAAACACCCCCCCAGGTATACCTCTCCATACCTGGAGGGTGTTCCAGGGGTCAACACCCCTGTGGCTTGGTCCATGACCAGGCCTCGTGGTAGAGCAGGAACTGATCAACCAGGCTGTTACTGCTGGCCACACGCAAACCAACATACAAACCACAGCACAGCTGGCCAGGTACTGACTTTAGGTGCCTGTCCAGCTCCCTCTTGAAAACAGCCAGGGATCTTGAAGACAATCAGGGTTCTTGAAGACAGCCAGGGGTCTTGAAGACAGCCAGGGGTCTTGAAGACAACCAGGGGTCTTGAAGACAGCCAGGGGTCTTGAAGACAACCAGGGATCTTGAAGACAACCAGGAGTCTTGAAGACAATCAGGGTTCTTGAAGACAGCCAGGGGTCTTGAAGACAACCAGGGGTCTTGAAGACAGCCAGGGGTCTTGACAACCAGGGGTCTTGAAGACAACCAAGGGTCTTGAAGATAACCAGGGATCTTGAAGACAGCCAGGGGTCTTGAAGACAACCAGGGGTTTTGAAGACAATCAGGGGTCTTGAAGACAACAAGGGGTCTTGAAGACAGCCAGGGGTCTTGAAGACAACCAGGGGTCTTGAAGACAGCCAGGGGTCTTGAAGACAACCAGGGGTCTTGAAGACAGCCAGGGGTCTTGAAGACAACCAGGGGTCTTGAAGACAACCAGGGGTCTTAAAGACAACAAGGGGTCTTGAAGACAACCAGGGGTCTTGAAGACAGCCAGGGGTCTTGAAGACAACCAGGGGTATTGAAGACAGCCAGGGGTCTTGACAACCAGGGGTCTTGAAGACAACCAGGGGTTTTGAAGATAACCAGGGTTCTTGAAGACAGCCAGGGGTCTTGAAGACAACCAGGGGTTTTGAAGACAATCAGGGGTCTTGAAGACAGCCAGGGGTCTTGAAGACAACCAGGGATCTTGAAGACAACCAGGGTTCTTGAAGACAACCAGGGGTCTTGAAGACAACCAGGGGTCTTGAAGATAACCAGGGGTCTTGAAGACAACCAGGGATCTTGAAGACAACCAGGGGTCTTGAAGACAACCAGGGGTCTTGAAGACAACCAGGGATCTAGAAGACAACCAGGGGTCTTGAAGACAACAAGGGGTCTTGAAGACAACCAGGGATCTTGAAGGCAACCAGGGGTCTTGAAGACAACCAGGGTTTTTGAAGACAGCCAGGGGTCTTGAAGACAATCAGGGGTCTTGAAGACAGCCAGGGGTCTTGAAGACAACCAGGGATCTTGAAGACAACCAGGGGTCTTGAAGACAACCAGGGATCTTGAAGACAACCAGGGGTCTTGAAGACAACCAGGGGTCTTGAAGACAACCAGGGATCTTGAAGGCAACCAGGGACCTTGAAGACAACCAGGGATCTTGAAGACAACCAGGGGTCTTGAAGACAGTCAGGGGTCTTGAAGACAACCAGGGGTCTTGAAGACAGTCAGGGGTCTTGAAGACAACCAGGGTTCTTGAAGACAGCCAGGGGTCTTGAAGACAATCAGGGTTCTTGAAGACAGCCAGGGGTCTTGAAGACAACCAGGGTTCTTGAAGACAGCCAGGGGTCTTGAAGACAACCAGGGGTCTTGACAACCAGGGTTCTTGAAGACAACCAGGGTTCTTGAAGACAACCAGGGTTCTTGAAGACAGCCAGGGGCCTTGAAGACAGCCAAGGGCCTTGAAGACAACCAGGGGTCTTGAAGACAGCCAGGGGTCTTGACAACCAGGGGTCTTGAAGACAACCAGGGGTCTTGAAGATAACCAGGGTTCTTGAAGACAGCCAGGGGTCTTGAAGACAACCAGGGGTCTTGAAGACAACCAGGGGTCTTGAAGACAGCCAGGGGTCTTGAAGACAACCAGGGGTCTTGAAGACAGCCAGGGGTCTTGAAGACAACCAGGGATCTTGAAGACAACCAGGGGTCTTGAAGACAACCAGGGTTCTTGAAGACAACCAGGGGTCTTGAAGACAACCAGGGGTCTTGAAGGCAGCCAGGGGTCTTGAAGACAACCAGGGATCTTGAAGACAACCAGGGGTCTTGAAGATAACCAGGGGTCTTGAAGACAACCAGGGATCTTGAAGACAACCAGGGGTTTTGAAGACAGCCAGGGGGCCGCGGGGGCGTTGACCCCCGGAACTCTCTCCAGGTAAACTCCAGGGTCTATTGGTAATCCCCCCTTATGTATTCTTGGAGGCTGTTGACCAGTGTGTTCAGTCCTTCAAGATTGATGAACTGGTCACACTGACTCCAGGTTGAGGGGACTGATTACCTCAACTCCTCCTCATCTTCCACCCTACTCTTTTCTTCATCAGTCAAATGAGTCCCGTAGCTTGATCGCTAGCGCACTCGGCTCACACACTGTGGTCCGGAGTTCGAATCTCCGGTACAGCTGGAAAACAGGGACGTGTTTCCATAAGACACCTGCTGTCCCTGTCCCTGTTCACCCATCAGTATAAAACAGGTACGTGGGTATTAGTGGACTGGTGTGGGTCACATCCTGGGTGCTATTAGACTGGTGTGGGTCACATCCTGGGTGTTAGTGGACTGGTGTGGGTCACATCCTGGGTGTTAGTGGACTGGTGTGGGTCACATCCTGGGTGCTATTAGACTGGTGTGGGTCACATCCTGGGTGTTAGTGGACTGGTGTGGGTCACATCATGGGTGTTAGTGGACTGGTGTGGGTCACATCCTGGTTGTTAGTAGACTGGTGTGGGTCACATCCTGGGTGTTAGTAGACTGGTATGGGTCACATCCTGGGTGTTAGTGGACTGGTGTGGGTCACATCCTGGTTGTTAGTAGACTGGTGTGGGTCACATCCTGGGTGTTAGTAGACTGGTGTGGGTTACATCCTGGGTGTTAGTGGACTGGTGTGGGTCACTTCCTGGGTTAGTTGTTAGTGGACTGGTGTGGGTCACATACTGGGTGTTAGTGGACTGGTGTGGGTCACATACTGGGTGTTAGTGGACTGGTGTGGGTCACATCCTGGGTGTTAGTGGACTGGTGTGGGTCACATCCTGGGTGTTAGTGGACTGGTGTGGGTCACATCCTGGGTGTTAGTGGACTGGTGTGGGTCACATTCTGGGTGTTAGTGGACTGGTGTGGGTCACATCCTGGGTGTTAGTGGACTGGTGTGGGTCACATCCTGGGTGTTAGTGGACTGGTGTGGGTCACATCCTGGGTGTTAGTGGACTGGTGTGGGTCACATCCTGGGTGTTAGTGGACTGGTGTGGGTCACATTCTGGAACAAAACTGACCTAATTTGCAGGAAATGCTATACATAACCAGGGAATTTCTATATAGTAATATATCATTGTTGTGAGCTATGGTCTGTATAAGTTGTACCATCTACTGGTAGTAAATAATGATATTATTATTATTAAATAGAGAGGAGAATACAGAGAGCAGTAGTAATGACGTGGTAATGACGCAGTCTGCTGTCTACAGTACATCTGGTTGCGTCATTGTAACGTTGTCACTATCACTGCTGTCTGCAGGATATTCTCTTCTGTAGGTGACTGAAAATGCCTGCTACGTAGGCGATAATTTTCACAAATAAAGACACCCTACTGTTGCATATGTGTTTTAGTTATTAATTAATTCTTGTGTACGTGAATGGTATACGAGGACACCAGTGGAAATACGTACAAGGACACCAATGGAAATACGTACAAGGACACCAATGGAAATGCAATGCATGCAACCATATGACCTGTCTTTGTAATACTCATTTGTATTTTATAGTTATCTGTTTACAATAATGTTTTATCACTGATTTCATCATTGCTTAGTTAATCTTAAGTTAATTTTAAGCCAGCCCGTAATGCTATGCATATAAGTGGCTTTGGCATGCTGCTCTTACCTGTATTTTTTTGTACCTCTGTTTGTATGCTTAAATTACTAAATAAATTAATAAATAAATAAAATAAATAAGACATCCTGACATGTTACATCCGTGTACGTATTTCCATTGGTGTTCGTGTACGTATTTCCATTGGTGTTCGTGTACGTATGTGAGCTATGGTGTGTATAAGTTGTACCATCTACTGGTAGAAATAAACATTATTATTATTATTATTATTATTATTATTATTATTATTATTATTATTATTATTATTATTCTGATAAAATATTTATAATATACTTGAGAATATTTGAGAAAAATTAAGACTTAATGTATTATATCCCAAGATAATAATTGTATATATCCTTCTTTAAGACCATGAAGCGCTAAATTCTCATGGGTATTTAGCGGAAAATATATTAAAAGAAGATAAAATCTTTTATGTTTTTACTGAAATATTTGAGAGAAATTAAACTTAAATTATTATATTTCAAGACAATAACTGTATTAAAAAAATTTTAAGACCATGAAGCGCTAAATTCTAATGGGCAGAAAGGTTAAAATAGTTTATAATATGGCGGGAAAATATTTAAGAAAAATTAAGATAATTATATTTGAAGAAAATATCAGTATTTAATCTTCTTTAAGACCATAAAACACTAAATTCTAATGGGCAGAAAGGTTAAAATAGTTTATAATATGGCGGGAAAATATTTAAGAAAAATTAAGATAATTATATTTGAAGAAAATATCAATATTTAACTTTCTTTAAGACCATAAAACACTAAATTCTAATGGGCTGAAAGGTTAAAATAGTTTATAATATGGCGGGAAAATATTTAAGAAAAATTAAGATAATTATATTTAAAGAAAATATCAGTATTTAATCTTCTTTAAGAGCATAAAACACTAAATTCTAAAGGGCAGAAAGGTTAAAATAGTTTATAATATGGCGGGTGTTGTAAGAACCAATAAAGTGTTGCCACATAAGTGTGAGAGAGACACTCACCGGCACCTCTCTTATTATACCACCAGGACCGGGAGCTACACTCAACCACTCACTCTAACACCTCTCTCACTCCTTCAACACCTGCTAATACAGCTTTGGACAGGTATTTATACTCCTGCACTTGTTAATTCACTTGTTTTACACTTATTTACACTTACGATTTACAATTATTTATTTTGACTCGTTAATATGTTAATTTAACACAAAATTATTAGTTTTTTCAGTAAATTTTGGAAAATATCTGCGAGTCTGTCCAGGAAATTGTAATGTTAATTATAAGTTAATTTACAGATGTTTTACATTTGTTGGCTGAATTTACAGATGTTTTTTACCTGTGTTTATAATGTTTGTTAATTTGTTAATGTTAAATGAGGTTAATGTGAGTGTTTGAGGTGTGACAAGCTGTTATGACCTCTATTACCAGGCTGGTGAGGGGCTCTTGATCCAGGGAGATGGAGTTAGGTTCTTCCCAGGCTGGTGAGGGGCTCTTGATCCAGGGAGATGGAGTTAGGTTCTTCCCAGGCTGGTGAGGGGCTCTTGATCCAGGGAATGGAGTTAGGTTCTTCCCAGGCTGGTGAGGGGCTCTTGATCCAGGGAGATGGAGTTAGGTTCTTCCCAGGCTGGTGAGGGGCTCTTGATCCAGGGAGATGGAGTTAGGTTCTTCCGAGGCTGGTGAGGGGCTCTTGATCCAGGGAGATGGAGTTAGGTTCTTCCCAGGCTGGTGAGGGGCTCTTGATCCAGGGAGATGGAGTTAGGTTCTTCCCAGGCTGGTGAGGGGCTCTTGATCCAGGGAGATGGAGTTAGGTTCTTCCCAGGCTGGTGAGGGGCTCTTGATCCAGGGAGATGGAGTTAGGTTCTTCCCAGGCTGGCGAGGGGCTCTTGATCCAGGGAGATGGAGTTAGGTTCTTCCATCACCTCATTACGACGACCTAATTTCGTAGACCCGAATATATTTTAAATATTTTTTTTAAGTTTAATTTCCGTCTCTATTACGACGACCCTAATGGAAATAAGTCCGGCATTTATTGGTTATTTTGGATAAACTTTCTTATTTCTTGCTCCCCAGGCGCTGCGTGGGCCCTACAGGTTTAGCGCTGGAAAATTTTTATTACGATGACCCCCAGTGGTAATCTGGTAATTTTTTTGGTTGTCGTAAATTTTAGCCGTCATTCCCCAGGTGCGGTATGGGCCCCTGCAGGTTTAGCTCTTTCCTAGGAACATGACCAGTATAAATAAGCGTTGCGGCTTATTTATGCTGGGGTCGTTAACTTGACTCCCACAGTGGAGGTTTCTTGATGTTGGTGAGGGGCTCTTGATCCAGGGAATTTGATCTGTGCTCTGGTTCCCTGAATTAAGCCTGAATACCTTCCATCCACCCCCACGTGTGCTGTATAATCGTACAGGTTTAGCGCTTCTCCGTGATTATAATGTCCCCAGGATGCCACCTACAGCAGTTAACTAACTTCTAGGTATCTAAGATAAGATAAGATTTCGTTCGGATTTTTAACCCTGGAGGGTTAGCCACCCAGGATAACCCAAGAAAGTCAGTGCATCATCGAGGACTGTCTAACTTATTTCCATTGTGGTCCTTAATCTTGTCCCCCAGGATGCGACCCACACCAGTCCACTAACACCCAGGATGTGACCCACACCAGTCCACTAACACCCAGGATGTGACCCACACCAGTCCACTAACACCCAGGATGCGACCCACACCAGTCCACTAACACCCAGGATGCGACCCACACCAGTCCACTAACACCCAGGATGCCACCCACACCAGTCCACTAACACCCAGGATGCCACCCACACCAGTCCACTAACACCCAGGTACCTATTTGCTGGTAGGTGAACAGGACAACAGGTGTAAGGAAACGTGTCGAAATGTTTCCACCCTCCGTGAATCGAACCCGGGCCCTCCGTGTGTGAAGCGGGAGCTTTAGCCACCAGGCCACCGGGCTAGGTGACTTGTAGAAAGTGCCGCAAGACTTGTTAATATGTACGGCCTAATATGGGGTTCAACCCCTGGTTCTCTTGAGAATAAGAAGGCACACTACAGCGACTGGAATAATAATCACATACACACATAACCCGCACGAAGGAGAATGAAACTTGTGATGTTTTGGTTCGACCTCGCCCATTAATTAGCCACACAGGTCCACTTTGTTGTGAGTCGAGTGTATTAGTCGCCGCATTACTAGGTGTGCATAATGCAGATGAAAAATACAGCAAAATTATCTTCCATATGTTTTACAAATTACAGTGGACCCCCGGTTAACGATATTTTTTCATTCCAGAAGTATGTTCAGGTGCCAGTACTGACCAAATTTGTTCCCATAAGGAATATTGTGAATTAGATTAGTCCATTTCAGACCCCCAAACATACACGTACAAAAGGACTTACATAAATACACTTACATAATTGGTCGCATTGGGAGGTGATCGTTATGCGGGGGTCCACTGTAGTTTGTAAGTCATTTACAGAGATACAATATTACACACTGCAGAATAATTACGTATTACAAAGGCATTACAGATGTACAGTATGCGACATTTTTTTGCCAAGTTTTATTTGCCTGGCAGGTACGTAGCAGCCAGTTTATAGGTTGTCACGGGGGCGTTGACCTCCCCCCCCGAACACACTCCAGGTAAATTCCAGGTTAAACCTGTAAAAATGTCCTCCCCTTCCTTGGATTGAATCTGTTCGCCTCCCGTTCCCCCATGCATTGCATAAGCCTAATGGGTTCAGTGGTCCCCCATGCATGTAATATGAAATGAGCCTCGGGTGAGCAAATTGGTAGCAAATATACGTGTTGCATCTGGCAACGTGGTTAAATGTTAAGTTATCTGGTTGCCAGGCGATAAAATATTCGTCATTTATTTTATATTATAAATTGTATTTCATTTCATCATACTAGTTATACAGAGGTAAAATACGATGACTTAATGATAGCCCCAAAATACAGTAAGTTTATTCAGGTATACACAAATACAGTTACATAGATTATCATACATAGCAGCATATGTGTAGAGAACTTGGGATAACCCAGAAAAGTCGAAGTAACTTGTTTCCATTAGGGTCCTTTAGAACCCCCGTATACACTGATTCGTTATCCATGGTTTGTTATCCATGGTTTACTGTGGCCCAAAAATACGTACCTCTTAATTTTGCACACTAATGGCCCCAAAGCACAAAAATAGAAAACCTGGCAGTTCTTCAAAGCTCTAGAAAAGCTTCCCATCAATGAAAGTGATAATTCACTGCTTATTGTGCATAATTTATCAATTGAACTTTATAATAGGTATGTATGGGACTTGTATACGTATAGGGTTTGCTACTATCCATGGTTTCGGTATCCACGGCAGGTCCTTGGAACATATCCCCCATGGATACGGGGATCCTACTGTACTCAGATCATGTATATCTAATGGGCTGGTCTGTGTTATGACTGGAATATATTGTTCTTCCATGGTAGACTGAACACTGGGTATGTATAATTATAGCATAAAGCAAGATACACTGTTTATGGCCGAGTCAGGCATAAAATGCCTGAGTTTCTTCTACCATTTATTATATAGTTTACCACATGGGATCAAAAACGTCGTGGGAATTGCATATTTATTATTAAACTGCAAATTTAAGAAGGTAATGGCTCATGAAATCGCAATAGTTCAATTTTTAATAAGTACAGAGCAGCAGTGGCAAATTTGGTACCTACCATTGGCTCTCTTGAAAAGATCAGTTTCTCGCAGTCACAACTTTTGCTTTATTAGTCGCTAACATGTACAGAAATTTTCATTATATTCAAAGCAACTGTCATATAGTGCATTTGCTTTCTAGGTAAATATAGTTATTGAAAATAACTGCTGGGAGACTCGAACCTTCTACCTTCTAGAGTTTTATTGGTACTCTTGGGTATCTCCTAGTATGGTGTAACACTCAACTTTAAAGGACCAGGTTGAATCCTGGGCAACGTAGGACATGGTGCATTTCCTAATACCTGTTTACCCTGTTAGGTAGTAGTTAAGACAGTAGTAGTAAGAATGGTAGAATTACTGACATAATGTTAGGTAAAGAGGACACAGATGCGACTAATGTAACATGGAAAATCCTAGAGGGACTAGTACCGAACTTGCACACGAAAATCACTCGCTACGAAAGCAAAAGACTTGGCAGACGATGCAACATCCCCCCAATGAAAAGCAGGGGTGCCACTAGCACGTTAAGAGACCATACAATAAGTGTCAGGGGCCCGAGACTGTTCAACTGCCTCCCAGCATACATAAGGGGGATTACCAACAGACCCCTGGCAGTCTTCAAGCTGGCACTGGACAAGCACCTAAAGTCGGTACCTGACCAGCCGGGCTGTGGCTCTTACGTTGGTTTGCGTGCAGCCAGCAGTAACAGCCTGGTTGATCAGGCTCTGATCCACCAGGAGGCCCGGTCACAGACCGGGCCGCGGGGGCGTTGACCCCCGGAACACTCTCCAGGTAAACTCCAGGTATTATTGTGGCAGTGCTTGACTAAGCTCCTGGAGTCCAAAACATTACCACAATAAAATGTCACATTAGTTGCACTTGTGTCCTTTTACCCAACAGTTAAGACAGTACCTAGGAGTTGGTAAATTATTATGGTTCACATTCTGGGACAGGTCATAAAATGAACCCAAATAGAAATACGAATCATTGCTTCGCTGTACAGATTATTCTGTTATGAACCCACCCGGGTTCAGTGTCGCTAAATCTAGACTCTCTTTCACTTAATAGCTCTGAGTACAGCTCCCAACTCGAACAATTATATAAGTGCGTAAGCGCTTTTGTAAGTATTTTCGTAAGTGCGTAAATGCTTTTGTAAGTGTGCAAGTGCTTTTGTAAGTGTATTTTTGTAAGTGCATAAGTGCTTTTGTAAGTGTATTTTTGTAAGCGCGTAAGTGCTTTTGTAAGTGTATTTTTGTAAGTGCGTAAGTGCTTTTGTAAGTGTATTTTTGTAAGTGCGTAAGTGCTTTTGTAAGTGTATTTTTGTAAGTGTGTAAGTGCTTTTGTAAGTGTATTTTTGTAAGTGCATAAGTGCTTTTGTAAGTGTATTTTTGTAAGCGCGTAAGTGCTTTTGTAAGTGTATTTTTGTAAGTGCGTAAGTGCTTTTGTAAGTGTATTTTTGTAAGTGCGTAAGTGCTTTTGTAAGTATTTTTGTAAGTGCGTAAGTGCTTTTGTAAGTGTATTTTTGGGGGTCTGAAATGGACTAATCTTATTTACATTATTCCTTATGGGAAGCAATTCTTTTGGAATCGGCACTCGAACAGCCTTCTGGAACAAATTAAGTTCATAACTCGAGGTACCACTGTATTTTTTTGCTATAGCAAATATCGATGATAAGTTAACACTGAGAATGGTATTAAATTTACATAGTGTACTAATTGTGTGTTTTCCATAGATAATGGCGGTTGCAGAAGTGAGATGGTGGATAGGGTTATCAATCGTTGCCCTCCTCACCATGATTGGGAGAAGTGGTGCCGTGACAATAATGAGTATTGATTTTGGCTCGGAGTGGATGAAAGTGGCAGTAGTTGCTGTAAGTATAACTTGACTTTTGGATGCTAGTCTTTATCTGAGGAAATAAGTTAGTGTACTAGTTTTAAAACTTTATTTAGGTTTTCAGGTAGTCGGCTTAGGGTCGGTCACCAAAGGCAACACTACCGTGCGGAAAATAATAATGGTATTTCCTTCCCATTAATGGGTATAAACTTTTCCACCTAAATATTATCTTCACAATAATTTCTTCATTTATACTACTATACCAACTAATTTTAGTTTTCTTTCCTGCTTAATGAGATTTTCTTTAGTATATACTTTTATTTAACCTTCATAAGCAATCAGTAACCTTTTTTTTTTTTTTTTTTTTTTTTTTTTTTTGACTGCATTCCTCAAGTGAGTACCACATCACTGTTGCATATTCCAACTATGGCCCAGTATATGCTCTAAACAGTTTTTTTTTTAACATTTCTCTATCCATATATTTCAAAGACTTTTATAATTTACTTGAGTAGCATGCGAGTTTCACGTTTTTTTTTTTTTTTTTTTTTTTTTATTTTCCAATGACGATTTTTTTCTTTTTTTGTTGATAGATCCTAGGTCCCTCTTTATGTCTGACACTTCCAGTATTTTATCAAATCTGAGTTTACTCAACCATTTTTATTACACAGCGTTAATCTACAGTACCATTTCAATATCATTCTATCACTCCATTTATTTAATTTATCCAAGTCATCCTAAAAAAATAATTTTTCTTATTTATTGGACCTAATATTTTTGCATCATCTATAGACATAATCATTTAATTGATTCTGTAAATCATTTACATATGTAGATTAAAAACATTATTGGGGAAATACAGATCTTTTTGGTGCCATACTTGTAACATCTTCCTGACATCTTCCCACTGTAACTTTTTTCCTATTACTGTTTGCACTGTTTCCTCAAACAGAAAGTTTCTCTTCCATTTCCATTTTAATTCACCATTTATTTCTGCTAGGTTTTGAAGTTTCCAGTATTACTCTCATGGGGAAACTATGAAAAGATTTTTTAAAATCTTGGCAAAAATAGTTTTCCTATCCATTCTTCTCTTGAATAATTTGTGCAAGTCCTAATAGTCGAATATTTGACTTGTTAGAATTTCCAGACGTAAAAGCGAATTGTTTACTTCTTGGTAGGTTGTTCTCGGTATCGTGTCCACTTTTCTCCTAGTGGTTTTTTCCAGTACAGTGGACCCCCGGTTTACGATATTATTTCATTCCAGAAGTATGTTCAGGTGCCAGTGCTGAACGAATTTGTTCCCATAAGGAATATTGTGAATTTGATTAGTCCATTTCAGACCCCCAAACATACACGTACAAACGCACTTACATAAATACACTTACATAATTGGTCGCATTGGGAGCTGATCGTAAAGCGGAGGTCCACTGTATATTTACAAAAATGCTAGTCAGTGAAACTGGTCTGTGGTGTAAAGGGACCTTCCTGTCACTTTTTTTAAATGTTGGCACAATATGTATGCAGTCTTCATTTGTCTGCCAATTTTCCACCTTGAAGTGAAATAAAAACTTTCCTTGGGGGATATCTGTTTTTCCTCACATTCTTTCCTCTTGTAGTACTATCTTATCTGGTCATTTATTTTTTTCTCAGTATCCAGCAGTAGTATTTTGTTTAGCTACCTTATTCTCTAATTCGTTTGTTTTGGTTTTAAATCTGCTACATATACACCTACCATCTGACTTACGGCCGAGTTCGGTTCCGAGAAACTGGTCGTAAGTCGAACTTCACTACTGAATATCAAAAAAACATTTTTGTAATGACTTTATTTTATTGTTTTATTTTGGTATTTCATGTTTTACTTTACTTTTTATGCTGTTAGCACTGTATTTTATACTGTAAGGTTTAGGATAAACACTGTGTACAACACAAATAGTTGTTTATTTCCCAGAAATTTGGCATAAAAAACACGGTCGTAAGTCAAGTGGTCGTAAATCGAGCAGGTCGTAAGTCGGATGGTAGGTGTATATCCTCTTTTATAAAGACTCCCTGAAACTTCCTGTTTAATGTCTTACTCATTTTCTCCTGTTCAGTGATTGTATCTCCATCCCTAATTCTTTGTATTGTATTTTGTGTATAACATTTAATTTACTTTTTTTTATAACTTGAGAAATCATAATGACATGATTGTAAACAAACCACAGTACGAGCGGGGATTGAACCCACAGTGTTTTAAACTCGCTTGCTGCGAGTTCAATCCCTGTCCGTACCGTGCTTTGTTTACTTTTTATCTTGATCTTAGCTACTACAGTAGGACCTCTGTATCCACTGATTTGGTATCAACATTTTCAATTATCTACGATTTACTGTTCCCCAAAAACATCTCTTAATTTTGCATAATAATGGCTCCAGATTGCTAAAGTAGAGAAGCTGGCAGTTCTTCAGAGCCTAAGAGAAGCTGTGAAGTGCTTCCCATCAGTGAAAAAGTGATAATTGTCCATTTATTGTGCATAATTTATCAATTAAACTTTATAATAAGTATGTATAGGACTTGTATATAGGGGGTGCTCTTATCCGTGGTTTCGGTATCCACGGCACGTCCTTGGAACATATCCCCCGTGGATACGGGAGATGCAGTACGTATTACAGAATACAGTACAGTATTCTGTAATACAGAATATGTACTTACTGTATTCTGTAATACATTGTTTATTTAGTCTTGTAATTATGAGTATGCAAGTATGTACTAATAAGTATTGTTATTAATTTAACAGCCAGGAGTGCCTATGGAAATAGCACTTAACAAGGAATCAAAGAGAAAGACTCCTGCGGCAATCTCGTTTCGTAATCATGAACGGACATTTGGAGAGGATGCCTTGACAAATGGCATTCGCTTTCCTGCTACAAATTTCTTTTATTTGCTTGACCTATTGGGCAAGAAAGTGGACAACCCAGTGGTTAAACTCTATCAGTCCAGGTTCCCGTTCTACAACATAGAAGCTGATCCTGATAGGGGCACTGTTGTCTTCAGATATGACGAGTGAGTGTTTTGTTTTTAACCCTTAACCCTTAAACGGTCCAAACGTATATATACGTTTTTTCAACATATGAAAGTATGTAAAAAAATGTAATTTTTTTGTTACATTTGAAAAAGTGTAAAAAAAACTTGTCTATTTTTTTTTTGTTATATTTGAAAATATGTAAAAAAAAAAGTAGATTTACTTTTGGAGCAATACGAATTTGAATGTCGATCTGTTTGGACCGTTTAAGGGTTAAACTTTCCAAACAGATCTACATACACATGCGTACTGCTCCAAAAGTAGATCTATGTTTTTTTACATATTTTCAAATATAACAAAAAAAAAAGTAGATTAAAGTTTTTTTACGCGTTTTCAAATGTAAAAAAAAAAAAAAAAAAAAAAGCTCTACGTTTTTTTTACATACTTCCAAATGTTGAAAAAACATAGATCTACGTTTGGACAGTTTAAGGGTTAAGCTTAAAATGTTCATTTTCTGAAGTTGTTCTTTTTTTCCTGTGTATACAGGGTGGCCCATAAGTTTGTTCCTGTGTTGTTTTTGCTGAAAAATATAGAAAATAAAAAGCAAAGAACAGATTTTGATTACTACAATTAAATTTTAATGTTTCCAAGATTCACACACGAATTTTTAAAATGTCAGATAAACAAAACGTGTGAGCAAACGTGTGAGCAAACGTGTGAGCAAACGTGTGAGCAAACGTGTGAGCAAACGTGTGAGCAAACGTGTGAGCAAACGTGTGAGCAAACGTGTGAGCAAACGTGTGAGCAAACGTGTGAGCAAACGTGTGAGCAAACGTGCGAGCAAACATGCGAGCAAACATGCGAGCAAACATGCGAGCAAACATGCGAGCAAACATGCGAGCAAACATGCGAGCAAACATGCGAGCAAACATGCGAGCAAACATGCGAGCAAACATGCGAGCAAACATGCGAGCAAACATGCGAGCAAACATCTGGTCCATGTACTAATATTGTACATTCTCAGAAGTAGCAATATCTCTTGGCACTTTTAATATGTTATTGAATTAATAATCTAATAAATAACTGAACAGAAGACGATACAAATTGATCTTCATACTTTTTTTTTTTTTTTTAGTCTTTTTTCCCTCTTAATGTTAAATTTTGCTTTGTATAAAGTTGTTTCTGATGTTTAATTTGTTAATTGCTATGTTGAAATATGATTAGTCTGCCTGAAATGTACCGCAGGCTAGTGGCTTTCTTGTGTGACTAACAATATGGGCAAGTGGAACAGAATTCTTCCCTCGTAAGCCATGAGTGTCGTAAGAAGCGACTAAAATACCAGGAGCAAGGGGCTAGTAACCCCTTCTTCTGTATACATTACTAAATTTAAAGAAAGTTTTTTTTTTCTTTTTTGGGCCGCCCTGCATCTGGGATACAGCCACTTTGTTCAAAGAAAGAATATTTTTTTACATGTAAATCACATTATCTGTAAACTGCAGAAAAGAAATAAATTATATGTATTTTGTATTTGTACAGTGAGACAACATACACAATTGAGGAACTGGTTGCCCAACTGTTGGAATATGCTCGTGATTTAGCTGTGGCGCACACCGATCAAAGAATCAAGGATTGCGTTATTACCGTCCCACCATTTTTCAACCAGGCCGAGCGCCGAGCTATCTTAACAGCAGCTGACATGGCTGGTCTTAAGGCAAGTATATGAGAATGTCATAAGAATGTTTGGGCTGCCTTTCCTTATGTATGAGTTAATTGAGTTATCAAAGCTTGTTCCTGGTGCAGCATTGAAAATGGGTTAGGCAGATATTCTTTAGTGGATCTGGGTTTCAGAAGGACCAGATGGGCCAGTAGGCATGCTGCGGTGTTCCTCCTTGTTGCTATATCAGTGGTAGTACAGTATATGATAAGTATGTATGATATAAGACACAATATGCAGTTTATGGAATTTTATTGAAAAGGCATTTAATTCACCTAAAACTTCCATAAATTCTCACCAGTTTGAGAATTGATAGTCTAAGGTGGATGAAATTTCTTAATAAATTGCCATTAACAGTATTGCACTATTAACACATGTCTGACCTTAGTCAAAACTTGCCCATATTTTAAAGAAAGTTGTTTTTATTGGCCTAGACAGAGCTGTTTGGTTAACGTTTCTAACAGAAATTTTTAGCATGTATAGGATTCACATGTTGCCTTCACATTTTTTTTTCTTATCTGTTTATTTCTAACACATGCCTCAATTTATTAAGTAACGTGTACCTGAATTTATTAAGGAATCTCCTTGCAAACTCAACATGCACCAATTTGCCACTATCCTTAGTCATGCTTGGTGAAGTATATCTGCATAGTTTAACTGTGATAAATACATATTGTAACATGTTTGAACTGAAAATATAATAGCTTTAGAGATTATCTTTAATTCCCTAGCAGACATATTTAGTAAGAAAGCCAGCGGACTAAACACTGAATATTAGAAAGAGTAAAAAGTAGTGAAAAATCATTTACCCTGGAAGTTTAATGTAAATGTCAAATTAAAAACTCGTAAGCAAGGTACGTAGGTTAATAATTTTGACTGACACTTCATAGGTGCTATCTTTAATGTCGAGTAATGCTGCTGTGGCCCTCAACTACGGCATGTTCCGGAGGAAGGAGATCAATGCTACAGCTCAGAATATTCTCTTCTATGATATGGGAGCATCATCTACCACGGCCACTATTGCCTCGTACCAGACCATCAAAACAAAGGACAGAGGATACACAGAGACTAACCCTCAGGTTACTGTTCTGGGTCTAGGGTAAGCTACAGTACTTTTATTCTCTAAATCGCCACCATCACCATCCTCATGAATTCTCCATTCACATTATCATGGTAAACAAAAATGGAATTGCGTGAAGATTTGCCACCCAAGGGAAACAGATTAGGCAGTCTCGGGTATATATGTGTATGTGTTAAGTAAATTAAGGCATTTTACATTATGAAAAATTTAGCAAGGTTAGCAGAATTAAACAAAAAACTTCAGATTCTCTTGAAATATGGAGACAAATCTTCAAGTAATCTCATGTAAAATCTGTATATTAAATATTGAAAGATTTTACTTTGTTTAATAGGACATGCTGTATGCACAATGCTTTCCTCCTATTTGTGTTGCTGTAATAAGCATTTTTTTGTTAAATTCATGTTCATGTACTTGGGTACACTCAAAAATTACTATTATAATCTTGGTTGATGGTTTAAAGAACACTGTCAGTGCAAGACTGGTTACATTCTTAATCTGTGTCAATTGTTTATTTAAAAATTGCTAGCTGTCGTCCAAACAGGGTGATCCAAACAAGAGAAAATACTGTACTTTCAATGTCATTTGATCTCTCTTGCTAGAAGCATGCCGACATCACAGCATGCTTCTAGCAATAGTGATATTCCAGTTCAGATGGCTCTGAACTGGAATATCACCACTCCTTCAGAGTGCAGGCACTGTACTTCCCACCTCTAGGACTCTAAAGTCCTGCTAACCAGTTTTCCTGAATCTGTTCATAAATATTACTTTGCCTTTACTTCAACAGCACATCAAATCCTATCTAACATTACGCAAGCCAGTTAGATGTCCAAGGTCTTGGCACTCAGAACTACCTTTATCTTGTAAAGTAAAAGGACACAAGTGCAACTAATGTGACATTTTATTGTGGCAACGTTTCTCTCTCCAGGAGCTTTATCAAGCCTTGATAAAGGCTTGATAAAGGCTTGATAAAGCTTGATAAAGCTCCTGGAGAGCGAAACGTTGGCACAATAAAATGTCACATTAGTTGCACTTGTGTCCTTTTACTTTACATATTGTCGGTAATTCTACCAACTTTATTACTACCTTTATCTTCTATCCAACCTAACCTAACCTGAGATGACCCCTATCCCAATCCTTTCCTCCACCCCAGATTTATAAACCTTTTTAGTCATCATATTTGGTTCCATTCTCTGAAATGTCCAAACCACCTCAACAACCCCTCTGCAGCCCTCTGAATAATACTTTTGGTGACCTCATAGCTTCACATATCCAAATTTTGAATTCTTTGCATTTTCTCACCACATATCTCCCTCAAACACACACTGACTGCCTTCAGCCTCCTCCTTGCTGCGATGTTTAAACCTCTTTCTTCCCATTCATATAAGTGTTGCTGCATATACCACTATACTCAGGTACCTTCCTCACCCTGCTTCCAAGGATAAAGTTTGTCCACTGATGCCTCAACACACCACCTACCTCCCCATCTTGGTCAATTCTATGGTACACCTCGTCTTTCATAGACCCATCTGCTGACAGGTCCACTCTGAAGTATCTGAACAGCTTTACTTCCTTCATATTCTCTTCCCTTCGTATCTGATATCCAATTTTTTTTCCTTGATATTATTCTTACTTTCATTACCTTGCTCTTTCCAGTGTTTGTTTATAATTTCCTTCTTTTACATTTGTTTTATTATTTTTTTTATTATCACACTGGCCGATTCCCACCAAGGCAGGGTGGCCCGAAAAAGAAAAACTTTCACCATCATTCACTCCATCACTGTCTTGCCAGAAGGGTGCTTTACACTACAGTTTTTAAACTGCAACATTAACACCCCTCCTTCAGAGTGCAGGCACTGTACTTCCCATCTCCAGGACTCAAGTCCGGCCTGCCGGTTTCCCTGAACCCCTTCATAAATGTTACTTTGCTCACACTCCAACAGCCTTTGCCACTTCTTCAGAATCTTCCAAAAGAACCATATCATTGACAAAACAACAGCTTTAATAACTCAGTGTCAAATTAGTTTTTGTCCCACACCTCTCCTACATTCCATGGTTATATCACACACCCATGTCTCAGGCCTACTTTTACTGTAAAATAATCCACCCTCTTCATACCCTATCCTAGCCTTGCTATCTTCATAAATACTCTACTGCTTTTTGTAAACTACCGCCTCTTACATTTATAGCATTTGCCATATTGCTTCCCTCTTCACCCTGTCATGTGCTTATTCTAAATCCTAAATGCAATAAGTTTCTTTAAGTATTGTTTGCTTATATGCTTCAATAAACACCATTTCTACATATTCCCTACTTTTTCTAAACTCTCCTTGTTCCTCTGCAATCTTTTCAATAATAATTCTACCATACACTTTATCTGATATATGCAACAGGATTTTTTTTTTTTTTTATTAACACATCGGCCGCCTCCCGCTAAGGCAGGGTGGCCCAACAAATGGTATTTGGGACGAAGGGTATTTGGGACCAAGGGTATTTGGGACCTGACGAGCTGTTGGAGTGTGAGCAGGGTAATATTTAGTGAAGGGATTCAGGGAAACCCGTTATTTTTATATAGCCGGACTTGAGTACTTGAAATGGGAAGTACAATGCCTGCACTTTAAAGGAGGTGTTTTGGGATATTGGCAGTTTGGAGGGATATGTTATATATCTTTATATATGCTTCTAAACTGTTGTATTCTGGGCACTATATCTTTATATATGCTTCTAAACTGTTGTATTCTGGGCACCTCTGCAAAAAGTGATTATGTATGAGTGAGGCAAAAGTGTTGAATGATGAAAGTATTTTCTTTTTGGGGATTTTCTTTCTTTTTGGGTCACCCTGCCTCAGTGGGAGATGGCCGACTTGTTGAAAATAGTAATTTAGAATAAATACACCAACCATTCCAAAACATCTCCACCTACTTTTAACATTTTTTTCTTGATTCCAGCTATCCTGGCTGCTTTTTTCCTTTCATTCTACCCACTGACTCGCACACCCCACATTCATGTCTGGCTTGTCCTCACTCCTACAAAATGTTATACCTCTGCCCAATGCATCATATCACCACCTCCATGACGTTTTTGAAGTTTGATCATAGGCATATTTTTCGCAGCTATGACCGCTCCCTAGGTGGGCTAGAGATGCAGCTGCGTTTAAGAGATTACCTCGCTAAAAATTTTAATGAGGTTAAGAAGACTTCGAACGATGTGCTGGAGTCTCCCAGGGGAATGGCAAAATTGTTGAAGGAAGCTGGACGTCTAGCTAAAGTGCTGTCTGCCAACTCTGATCATCTCAGCCAGGTGAGTGCAGAATATTAAGAATACTATTGACCATAGACAAAATATAGTACTGAAGCCTGTACAGCCTATGCAATAGGCCGTGTCAGGTCTGACTTGATAAAGCCTGCTGTAGTAGGCAGAATGTTGTATTAAATACTCTTGCTGCTTGTCTTTATCAAGTACAACTTTGTGTTCCTTTACTGTCTACGTATATAGAGGAGTTTTCGTGAAAATGTTGTTCTTTCAACAAAACAGCCGTATCCCACCGAGGTGGGGTGGCCCAAAAAAGAAAAACAAAATAACAAAAAAGGCACTATACTGTGACTGGAACGATACACAAATAACCCGCACATAAGAGAGAAGCTTACGACGACGTTTCGGTCCGACTTGGCCCATTTACAAAGTCACAAAGTTACAAAAGTTTCTCTTTTTGACTTCAGTAATGTATACAGGAGAAGGGGTTACTAGGTGCCCCTTGCTACTGGCATTTCAGTTGCCTCTTACGACATGCATGGCTTAGAGGATTTCTGTTCCACTTGCCCATGGAGAAAGAAAATGCTTGTTCCAAAAAGAATAGTTAAAATTAACATAATCTTTACAAAGTTTTATGATAAATCTCCATTATATTTAGAGAAGGTTCATTAATTTGCCTCGCTTACTTGTCCATGATGCAGTAATCGCTGAAACATTGGCACAGTTTTCAGCAGGAAATGTATCCCTTAGGCTTGTTTTAATGGTATACAATTAACTTTTTTATTGAATATTAGAGATTCTTGCAATTGAGAAATGTTTCTTGCAGGTAGAAGGAGTTTTAGATGAAGAAGACTTCAAGCTTATGGTAAAGAGGGAGGAGTTTGAGGACCTGTGTTTGGACGTGTTTGAACGTATTCGTGCACCAATTGATGCAGCTCTTATATCTGCTGGCATGGATATTTCTGCTATTGATCAAGTAAGCAGTGACAGCAGAAGCAATTCATTTTTTTTGTGCATGTTATTGGGGTTTTTCATTTTTCATTTCGTGAGAAATGGAAAGTCACAACATGACGACTGGAACAGTGAACGTTTTGGTGTGCAAAAATTGACAAATATTGCAGTGCCACCACCTCTGGTGGTGGTGGCACTGCAAAACCTGCAAGCATTCCATACAGATGATAAGTCATTAAAAACTGGAATGTCACCTAAAACCAATTTTAACTTCAGTGCAACCCACTTACCTATTAACATTCCTAATGAACATTTTGCACTGACAGGAGAACTCATTATTTGTCATGACCATCAAAATGTCAGTGTAATCTTAACTCCCACGTCATTACATACTTACAGTATCACTTATTTTGTCGTGGTTCTTTAAAAACCACTGTGAATCTATAAGACTTAAGTGCAATTCAAAGAAGGTTACTCTTAAAATTTTATTTTAAAAAGAAAGATCATATTTGTCAATTTTTGCACACCAAAATGTTCACCGTTTTCATTTTCCACCACCACGTGTGGCGGCAGCGGCAGCACTGAAACAAAATACAGTAGACCCCTGGTTTACGCTATTATTTCATTCCAGAAGCATGTTCAGGTGCCAGTACTGAACGAATTTGTTCCCATAAGGAATATTGTGAATTAGATTAGTCCATTTCAGACCCCCAAACATACACATACAAACGCACTTACATAAATACACTTACATAATTGGTCGCATTGGGAGGTGATCGTTATGCGGGGGTCCACTGTATATGCTCAGTGAAGGGGTAGTGAAGACAATTTTTTTTTTAATTGTTCATATTGATTGATGGGAGGATTGTCACTGATACCAAATGAACTAGGAATGCAGCAATTTTTGCACCTGATAGACTTGTATGCATTCCTCTTATTTACTGGCGCTTACTGATAAAATTGCCAAAGGTTTTAAACGTTTGTATTTTCAGTTCATCATAGTTGGTGGAGGTACCCGCATACCACGAGTGCAGACAGTTCTCCAGGAAATTTGGGGAAAAGAATTGGGTAAAAACATTAATGCTGATGAAGCTGCAGCTATGGGTGCCGTATACCGTGCAGCTGACCTGGGCCAGGGCTTCAAGGTTAAGAAGTTCCATGTCAAGGAAGCCATTGTCTTCCCTATTGAGGTAAGAACCCTGTTAGGTATTCTTTGTAAGGAAGTACCTTATGGTTTATCTATTTTTATTTTTTTTTTCTTAGTGATAATGTAATTACCTCTGTTCATTCTCCTGAAATTTTAAACACTGGCAAATGTTTATTTTATTTTATGTTTTATGAAATGTCCTATTGAAATTGTCATTGTAGTTACCGTGCACTTATTTTGGGAACTTTTTTTTTTTTTTTTTTTTTTTTTTTTTTTTTTTTTTTTTTTTTTTTTTTTTTGAAAGAATTTTTAGGACACTTGCCATTAGCTACCACAGTAGGATGAACTGAAAAAAGGGGGGAAAACATACTTGCTGTCATTCAGTCTTTTGCCAGATGAGTTTTGACATTTCAGTTCAGATAACTCTGAACTGCATCATCCTCACCCTCCTTTAGAGTGCAGGCACTGTACTTCCCATCCCAGGACTTGTCCAGTTAATTGGTTTCACTGATTCTCTTCATGTGTGTTACCTTGCTCCCACTTTAATAGCATGTAAAGTCAAGGGAAGTGTTTTAATCTCCATGGTTTGTGGTTACAACACCAGAATTTTGCCAAATTTCATGTACATTCCTTTAATACAGTAGTATGATGGGGCTACATAGAATGAGAAACAATCCTGTCACTGGAACATGAGGGAATACAATCCTGACATTCTAAATACTGTGGGACATACACAGGGTAGAAAAGGGGTACCCAGCAAGAATGAGGGTACATCGTTGAAATTTCTTGACCAAATGAGGCAAGAAGAAGTTAGAAAATAATAGTATTTCTTGAACATGAGAATGATAAATAATCAAGAATGATTTGAACAATTACAGTATAAGCAAACTCTTGTTCAGGAATTTGAAAGTAGATAAAGAGCCCAGTCACATCATAGTCATAGACATTGAGGTGGGACCAAGAACCAGAGCTTCATCCTTTTCCATTTCCTTAAATTCAAGTAGGAACTGTAATTACATCAGATACACATTTTTTGACTGCTGGGTGAGCAGGAGCAACAGACTTGTAAATACTACACAAAGGCTAGACATCACTTGAGACTTAGGTGTGTGCCAAGTACTTTGATCACCTAACTAAGAGTCGCTCCACAGGTCTACACATAGAAGTGGCATGTAATACTGACACAAAGGAAAAACACAAATGCAGTATGAAGCTCACTGTGTTTTGCCTACATAGTGGCTTTATCAAGTCAAACAAATCTGATTGTGACTTGATGAAGCCCTCTGTCCGTCTCTCTGTCCGTCTCTCTGTCCGTCTCTCTGTCCGTCTCTCTGTCCGTCTCTCTGTCCGTCTCTCTGTCCGTCTCTCTGTCCGTCTCTCTGTCCGTCTCTCTGTCCGTCTCTCTGTCCGTCTCTCTGTCCGTCTCTCTGTCCGTCTCTCTGTCCGTCTCTCTGTCCGTCTCTCTGTCCGTCTCTCTGTCCGTCTCTCTGTCCGTCTCTCTGTCCGTCTCTCTGTCCGTCTCTCTGTCCGTCTCTCTGTCCGTCTCTCTGTCCGTCTCTCTGTCCGTCTCTCTGTCCGTCTCTCTGTCCGTCTCTCTGTCCGTCTCTCTGTCCGTCTCTCTGTCCGTCTCTCTGTCCGTCTCTCTGTCCGTCTCTCTGTCCGTCTCTCTGTCCGTCTCTCTGCCCGTCTCTCTGCCCGTCTCTCTGCCCGTCTCTCTGCCCATCTGTCTGTCTGTTTCTCTGTTTCTCTCTGTATAAAACATCAATAAAGGATCACATTATCCTGCATTTCTCCTCTACACAGTGTGGTGGGTAAGGGGTGAGTAAAGAAGTGAAAGTAAAGGAAGGCAGAAGTAAAACAATGAATAAAATTTTGGGAGAACATCGTTCTTGTAAAAACGGTTTCAGTAAGAATGAACTTGACTGTAAAGACTCAGGAATACTATAGAATGTTTTATCTTTTTTTTTATTAGACATTTTAGTAAATGTGAATATAATTTGTTCAATGTAGAGCGTACTTTAAAAATACACAGCCCAGTTCACCATATTTTACCAAAGCTAATTTTAGTTATTTTTTTTTCTCTCCTTTTTAACACGTTGATTTAAATTTCTATTCTGCACAATAGATAGAAGTGAAGTCTCAGAAGAGGGTGAAAACACACTGGTTTCAAGAACTAACTAGGAAGTTACTCTCCTTGGTGAGGGAGGGTGGAGTGTTTTCAAGGATATTTTTGTTGCTTATTTTGGTGCTGGGACTTGACCTGCTCACACGGTTCACTGTTTTCTCTTAAATTTTTAACACTTCTCTTAATTCTTAAAGCTTTTGTATAAATATGAGCATTGCACACTTAGCACAGTTTATACTTGCACATGTCACGATTTTACAGTTTTTGTATTTAGTTGACCACTGTTTAGTGTGTGTTGGCAACCAATGAGTGTTGTAGTGTAGGAAGCTGTTTCAAATTTCTATTTGTGATGTTTGAATTCTACAGAAGGTACATAACTATGACTATAGCAGACAATGTTTTAATGGTGGAGTTCCTCCAGAAGTGTTACGGAATTTTTTATTTGGGATATATTCTTTAGATTTGGTTAGCTATGTAGTGAAAGCTGTGTGGAATCCTTTTCCTTAATGGATTCTTTGATTGCTATATTTAGAAATCATATTTTCCTAAAGTTCTGTCTGAACTTTGTCATATTCCATTGTTCATTTCTTCTAATGCAGTATTGGTAACACATTTGTATTTGCTGCTGCAGTTTTGTGTTAAGAGAGAGAGTGAATGGCTGAGGTGTTTAGTAAATATTTTCCACATGGGCTGACCTTAGAGAATTACTATGTGATAGGTATATGTTTTGTATTAAAAGACAGATAGATAGTTGAAAATGTAATTAAACAGGTGGAGAAAGCTTAATGAACATGGGACGTGAATAGGTGGAGACGGTTGTGAATATTGGGTCGGCTCTAGTCTCTATATAAATTTGTGACTAAATTTTCTCCAGCATGATGATTTCAGTCTTATAGAATATACAGGATATCCATATACTATGAATTTGTCAGAAGATTAAACCTTAACCATCCAATCTTTCTCTGATAAATGTGCGTTTCTTTTTCAAGATTATACAACAGTTTTTTTCTTTGAGAATTGCTGACACAAATGTGGGATATTTTATTTTGTGAAATTCTGTTGAACTCCGTGTTGTCATAATTTGTCACTGTTCCCAGGTTGACTTTGAAAGACAGATTGAGAATGAAGACGGTTCTACCTCAACGAAGGTTGTGAAGCGTTCTCTCTTTGCTCTTGGGAACAGCTACCCACAGAAGAAGGTGATGACCTTTAACAAGCACGTCGCAGACTTCAATTTCAGTGTTAATTATGCTGAGAACGAATATCTTCCAAAGCTTGAGGTTCTGTAAGTGTTAGAATTGTTTTTTGATGACTATTTGAAGTGTTGAAGATTGAAATATGGAAATCAAACACACAACATTAAACCCTTACACTGCTTCCAGGGCAGCCAATGTGGAAAATATCTCTCACATTGTGGCTTCTGGGGTGACTGCAGCTTTTGCTAAACACAATCAAGAAGGCAGTGAACCCAAAGGAATAAAGGTATGGGGTTTTGTAAAGCAGAATTTTATGATGCAGATTGTAATGTAGCTGTCACTCTCCTCAGTTCAAGAGAAGTTTTTTTTTTTTAACTGGCTGTGTCCTACAGGGGCAGAGTGACTTAAAAATTGAAAAAAAAAAAAAAAAAAAGTTTTGCTTTTTAAATTCAGGCATTTATACAGGAGAGGGTATTATATGCCCCTTGCTACTGACATTCTAGTCACTTCTTAAGACATACATGTCTTAAGAAGTAAGAATTCTGTTCCACTTCCTCACGGAGAAACAAAATCATTTTGTTTTTCTCTCAACAAGTTGGCCGTCTCCCACCGAGGCAGGGTGACCCAAAAAGAAAGAAAATCCCCAAAAAGAAAATACTTTCATCATGAAGATGCATAGTATCTCTTCCACACTAAACTGAAAAATGTTAAGATGCAGTAAGGATGCCTGTTGAGAGGTGAAATGACGGTTCAAATTAGTTTGAAATTTAGTGTAAACGGGAATGAAATACATGCATATGTAGATCAGTTTCATGAGTGCATTGAAATAGGTATCTTTTATTACCCCCTCCTAACACTGTACGACTCTTTTGGGTTTAGTGCTTAGTTTTGATTATATTAATACTCGCATCCCAACTGTCGTATTTGCTCCTCTGGCAAGACAATGATAGTGCAAATGATGGTGAAAGTTTCTCCCTGCCTTGGTGGGAGTTGGCCAACAGGTTAAAAAAAAAATCCTTTGTGATTGATTGTAAATAAACTCCTGGCAATAGAGGAAAATGAAGAATGTGATCTGTCAATGTTGCTGTAGCATAAGACTGATCAAAATAGTGATTGAATGGCAACGCATTTCATCACAGAAATGGCAAAGAGCCATTGCCACAACTCAAAAGACCTCAACATTTGCAGGCACACTTCAACATGGATGACTCTGGAGTGTTGACGCTTGCAGCAATGGAGGCAGTGTTTGAGAAGAGCATTCTAGTGGAGGAAGAGAAACCTGAGGAGGAAGAGTCAACATTGTCTAAGCTTGGTAGCACCATCAGTAAGCTTTTTTCAGGTGAGGGGGGGGTCCTGCATGGCTCACCAATCAGGGTCTTCAACTTTGCCATTTTGAACTTGGAGCAGTTTATGGGATTTAAATGAAATTTAACAATTTGTTTCATTATGGTATGTTGAAAGGATACAGTAAGTCCTTGACTTAAACACACTGAGAATCTTCGATATTATGTATAAGATCATTATTATATCATTACTGTGTATAAGGTCATTATTACATCATTATTATATACAGTGCAGGAGGACCCCAATGTGTGTGTAAGTCGAGGACTTACTGTAATTAGTATTGTACAGCCTCTCCTCACTTAGTGACGTACTTGGTTTACCGACGACTCGGACTTACGACGGGCTCTCTGACCAGTATGCATACCTAAATAATGTATGTTAAAGCTGATTTCCTCTATTCTGTTATTACAATATACAGTACACTACTGTATAAACCTTTAAAAATATACTGAAAATGTTATAAATGGTGCAAAGGTGACATTAAAATAATATCAAAGATGGTTGTGTACGAATGGTATATAATACCGACAAGATGAGAGTAAGACACATGTGCAACATCTGGGTATCTTTATTGTAGACGTCTACAATAAAGATACCCAGATGTTGCACATGTCTTACTCTCATCAAAGATGGTTGACACACATCCACTACCATTATAGTATGTTCCTTGTTTAGCGATGAATTCGTTTACTGATGCGGTCTTAGGAGCGGAACTCTGTCGTTAATTGAGGAGAGGCTGTATTAAATTGTCAAATGTGGCATTTTTGTTAAGACCCTGATCTCTCTCTCTGGTGTATTCTTCCCAAGTTCCTGTTTCACTAGGTGAACTTATTTTAACACGTGTACTTTCTTGGTAGAATTACTGGCAATGTTAGATAAAAGGACACAGATGCAACTAAGGACTTTTTCTGTGGCAACGTTTCACTCTCCAGGAGCTTTATCAAGACATAACAGCTTGACAAAGCTCCTGGAGAGTGAAACATTGCCACAATAAAATGTCAAATTACTTACATCCATGTCCTTTTACCTGACATATACTTTCTTGTTTTTCTATACCTTTGTGATTATTAGGATTTAATCTATTGACAGGCAGTACTATAATTAGGATGAGTTGGTGTTGATGCTTGGCTGCAACAGCGGTACTTTTCAATTATTTCGTGGAGAATCAAACCTCCATGATTCCTTACAGTAAATTATCCACATGGGTTTAACACTTCACATAATGTAATAATTCACTTAAACTGGCATTGTAATATTTAAAATATAGATCAAATGGATGTTTTACCCATAAATTGTTTTGTGACACCATTCCACTCCTGTTCTTTCAATTGGAAGGTTCCTTGATGCTGGTGAGGGGCTCTTGATCTGTGGAATTGGACCTGTGCCCCAATTCCTTGAATCAAGCTTGAATGCCTTCCATTCCCCCAGGTGCTGCATGATCCCTGTGGGTTTAGTGCTCTCCCCCCACCCCCGTGAATGTAATAATGTTTGTTCAGTTGAGTGCCTTAGTGCCAGTGAAGGAGGTTCTGATTATTGGAATTTTGTTACTCTCCATTTCTCTGGATCAATAGTAATTATTTCCCGTTCTCCAGGAACTGAATAACTTCCATAAACAAGGTTGTTTCTTTTCTTACAAAATGGGAGAGGCTTCAGTAAAATAGTTAATAAAGATTTGCAGTCTAAGTTCATTATATGTAGATATTCCACTCATTATGGCACATACAGATATTTAAGTTTTTGTATAGTAATAATTATTTCTAAACTGTTGTATTTTGAGCACCTCTGCAGTAACAGTAATTATGTGTGAGTGAGGTGAAAGTGTTGAATGATGAAAGTATTTTCTTTTTTGGGGATTTATTTTCTTTTTGGGTCGCCCTGCCTCGGTGGGAGATGGCTGACTTGATAAAAAAAAAAAAATGATCTGAATTATCTAAACACTGAAGTGTTTGTATGTGCCATGTAATTAATACTTCCTCTAAACATGATGGACTAATTTCTCTTATATCATTGGGGATTTGTTTTACTATGCAGAGGATCATGCGACACTTGGAAGGACCTACCATATTTATACTTGTTCCACACTTTTATATTTGTCAACAGTCTGTAACATTTGGTGAACATAATACCACTGGTTAGCCCAGTGGTATTCATTGCGCAGCGGTATTCATTGCATAGCAAGATATGCAGGCTAATATTACCATGTCTAATTGAACATTAAAATGGTATAAAATACCGACAGGTTGTTAGGTAAGACACACATGCAACAGTTAGGTATCTTTATTATGAAACGTTTCGCCTACACAGTAGGCTTCTTCAGTCAAGTACAGAAAAGTTGATAGAAGCAGAAGATACTTGAAGACGATGTAATCAGTCCATCACCCTTAAAGTTTTGAGGTGGTCAGTCCCTCAGTCTGGAGAAGAGCATTGTTCCATAGTATGAAACAATATTGTTTCATACTATGGAACAATATTGTTTCATACTATGGAACAATGCTCTTCTCCAGACTGAGGGACTGACCACCTCAAAACTTTAAGGGTGATGGACTGATTACATCGTCTTCAAGTATCTTCTGCTTCTATCAACTTTTCTGTACTTGACTGAAGAAGCCTACTGTGTAGGCGAAACGTTTCATAATAAAGATACCTAACTGTTGCATATGTGTCTTGCCTAACAATTACCATGTCTAATTTTTCTCATTTACTATATTGCACTAGCAGCTCAGTACTACTTAATTTAGTTGAGTTACGCTAACTTGCAGTAGCTGCGGCTCTCTCAATCAAGGTGTTTGATCGAAGTGGCTCTCTTGCAAAAATTAGTGAATAACACTGGGTTAGCCGAACTTGAGTCCTGGAAATGGGAAGTACAATGCCTGCACTTCAAAGAAGGGGTTTGGGATATTGGCAGTTTGGAGGGACATCTAAACTATCGTATCTAAGCGCCTCTGCAAAGAGTGATTATGTATGAGTGATGGTGAAAGTTTTTTCTTTTTGTTTTTTTTTTCTTTTTGGATCACCCTGTCTTGGTGGGAAACAGCTGATGTGTTAAAAAAAAATTACCACTGCTGGTATTGCTTTCAGTGCTGTCAGTTTTGTTCTATAAACCATTAGTTGTCTTGTTACTTCCAGCAAGCGTGCATGAGCATGTTAGATAGGAGTGAATGGAGATGAATGATACTTGGGACCTGACGATCTGTTGGAGTGTGAGCAGGGTAATATTTAGTGAAGGGATTCAGGGAAACCAGTTATTTTCATATAGTCGGACTTGAGTCCTGGAAATGGGAAGTACAATGCCTGCACTTTAAAGGAGGGGTTTGGAATATTGGCAGTTTGGAGGGTTATGTTGTGTATCTTTATATGTGTATGCTTCTAGACTGTTGTATTCTGAGCACTTCTGCAAAAACAGTGATAATGTGCGAGTGTGGTGAAAGTGTTGAATGATGATGAAAGTATTTTCTTTTTGGGGATTTTCTTTCTTTTTTGGGTCACCCTGCCTCGGTGGGAGACGGCCGACTTGTTGAAAAAAAAAAAAAACTTTAATAAATCTCAGAGTTCCAGACAGGTTTCTGCTCATATTACATATGCATTACTAGTTTTATTTGCTGTCTTTGTCAGAATAATGTATATTTCAAATATCATGGGATTCTCTGTCACTTGCTAAGAACACAGTATACTACTGTGGTGTTGGGAATTATGTCATTTTTTTAATTGTATTGTATATTAACGAGATGAGTAGAAAAAATGTTATTAAATAAATTAAAATTGAAGGTAGTGATGCTAGAGAGGAAGGATCATTATAGGAACCAGCATTTGTGCTTTGAACAGTTAACATTGTTAAGCCGGTTCGGTTGGGTGAGCTGGGTATCTTGGATGGGTCTAGACCCCAAGTTCTTGAATGATGTTTGGGTTGTTTATTTTTCAGTGGATCTCTCTTTAGGAGTGCTTATGGTCGAGGGAAAAGTCATCCTGGGTTCTTCTGTTTATTAAGGATTGGAGTGTTCTGTTGTGCTAGTGTTTGTAGCTGGTTGAAATTATCTTAGAATGTAAGATTTATTATTGTTTTGTTAATAGTTAAGTAAATTAGCTTTATTACTGTGTTTTAGTTGCCTCCTCTGGTTACATTTAGTTTTAGTTGTTACTGGTTAAACAGCTGGAAGTCATTAGAATACTGCATATCCCTTTTAACATGTGTTCTTAGAACTATAGCATTCACTCTTGTGAACATGCATCTCTATACACATTAATACTGTTGTTGTCAAATTGCCTCTTTTTTCCATTATGCACGCATAGTGCCATACCCACTTTCCTAGTTGGGTACAGAACACCTCTAGATTTTTTACTGTATCTAAATGTTGAGTTTGTGCATCCTTAGAGTATTGTACAACAGTTTAATAAGGGTGAAATTTGGTCATGTCTAATGCATATACCTATTCCTGTAAATCATCCCAGTGCTGGGTCTCCTTGCTGTGGTGTTAGGGTTGGAATGACGCAAGTTACCGACAGCTACCCAGCAGTTAATTTGTCAGCATCAAACTCTGCCTTATAAGGCACAAGTTGGGAATGTTTCATTAGCCCTGGGTTTATACACAAATAACCCGCACATAAATGAGAGAAGCTTACGGCGACGTTTCGGTCCAACTTGGACCATTTACAAAGTCAAACTGCGACTTTGTAAATGGTCCAAGTCAGACCGAAACATAGTCGTAAGCTTCTCTCTTTTATGTGCGGGTTATTTGTGTATCGTTCCAGTCACGGTATTGTGCCTTTTTTTGTTATTTAACCCTGGGTTTAATTGTACAGGAGAGTCCTGCTTATACAGCATGTTACGTTCTGGGCTACTGCTGTAAACTGAAACGAAAAGCCTTTTTTCACTTTCAAATGCACATAAAGGCGTGATAACATGTTTACACTAACATATATTCAATGAGCAATAGAGCTAGGCCTAAAAAATGCATATATTTTCATCCTTGGCTCATAGTGAATGGTGAATATAATTATTGTAGGAAATTTGAATAAATGAAGAAAAGGCATGATTGAAAACTGCTGTATTAGTGAAACATTGCAGCGGAGGCCTCCTGTAGTTATTATTAAATGTCTAATAATCCAGTAATCCACATGTCTATCACAGTTGAAGTACTCTTAGTTCTTACATTATACAGTGGACCCCCGCCTTACGATCAGCTCCCAACTCGACCAATTATGTAAGTGTATTTTTGTAAGTGCTTTTGTACGTGTATTTTTGGGGGTCTGAAATGGACTAATCTAATTCACAATATTTTTTATGGGAACAAATTCGGTCTCCAACGGCACCCGAACAGACTTCAGGAATGAAATAATATCGTAAGGCGGGGGTCCACTGTACTTAGACTATTTGTACCTGCATCGTTATTAATTTTCTGTCTTTCACTTCTCTTCCTTTTCCACATATTCCTGTTTCTCTAAGCCATTTGGTTGTCCGTATACTGCTTATCTTTAACGGCATGCTAACACATCAACCATCTTTCCCAACATTTCCCTTTAGTAATTTTGTCTTCATTCCTTCCATTTAAAGCACTCGGCATAGGTCTGTGTAATTTAATTACCTACTGAAATTGATGTATTAAGAAATATACCCTAAATACCTTTATCTTGTCAGTTTATCTACTGTACATTTAAGCTGCAGTCACCATTCAGACTTGACATACTACATGGACTCTGTCTATGTAGTATGATTTTATTAAATGGTGTAACTTGGTTACATAAACACGTATCAAAACCCATGTGAAGCAGTTAGATATCTTTATGTAGGCAAAATATTTCAACCCTAAAGATACCTAACTGTTGCACGTGTCTTAATCATGAATTTGTTGGTATTCTATGCCATTTTCAATGTAACATTTATAAACTCTGCATATATTGTATATTTGTCATATTTATATCATTGCTATACATTTGGTAACTAAATTGGTAATCTTTTGTCAGTATTTAATGAATTCTGTTGAGTGGTAAACTGCTTTGGATGTGATAATATTGCACATATAATGTGGGTCTAGAGTTTGATAATACAGATACTGAAGGTTAAGACATGTTCAGCTGTTTGGTATCTTTATTGACGAAATGTTTTGCCTATGCACTAAACTTCTTCCAATACAAAGGGACCAGTAGTAATGAAATGTAATCAGTCCGTCAACCTCGGAGAACAATATTTGAGGTGGTCAATCCCTCGCCCTGGAGAAAATAGATACCCAACTGTTGTACGTGTGTTTTAACCCGTAAACGCACCAAGCAGATCTGCGTTCACATGTGTAGTGCTACAAAAGTAGATCTAAGTTTTTTTTACGTATTTTCAAATATAACAAAAAAAGTAGATCTAAGTTTTTTTTACATATTTTCAAATATAACAAAAAAAGTAGATCAAAGTTTTTTTTACACATTTTCAAATGTAAAAAAAAACAAATCTACTTTTTTTACATACTTTCAAATGTTGAAAAAACATATATATACGTTTGGACCGTTTGCGGGTTAATCTTCAACTTGTCAGCATTTTATTCCATTTTCAACACTGCAGATACTGACATATTTTTGTTTTTCAGGGTCCGAAGATAAAGTAGAGGAGGCAAAGGATAATAAAACAGAGAAAAGTGATGTTGAAAAGGATGGTGAGAAAGATAGTAAGCCAAATAAGGAAGAGAAGGTAGAGAAAAATGAAAGCAAAAAGAAAACGGAGGACAAGGAAAAGAACGAAGAGAAGAAAGCAGAAAAGGAATTGAAGCCAAAACAGGTGATGGTAAAGGAGGAATTAAATTATACAGTCACATACAAGGACATCCCAGACTTGAGCCCTCAACATTTAAAGGAGTCTAAAAAGAAGTAAGCAGATTGTGTTTTTGTATGCTTTTGAGTTTTTTTTTTTTACCCTGGCCATCTTCCACCAAGGCAGGGTGACCCCCCCCCCCCCCCCCCCCCCAAAAAAAAAAAAAAAAATGCTTTCGTCACCATTCACACTATCACTGTTTTTGCAGAGGCGTTCGAATCCAAGAGTTTATATGTCACTCAAAATGGCAACTATCCCAAACCCCAGGATTCAAGTCTGGTTAATCAATTTCCCTGAATCCCTTCATACTCACTCCAACAGCTAGTCAAGTTCCTAAAACCATTTGTCTCCACTCGCTCTTATCTAATACGCTTACACATGTGCTGTATGTCCAAGCCCTTTGTACACAAAACCTCTTTTAATTTTCCCTCCATCCTTTCCTAGGATAACCCCATTTACGTAATATTACTTTTAACAAACTGGCCGAATACCACCTAGGCAGGGTGGCCCAAAAAGTAAAGCGAAAGTTTCTCTTTAAATTTAGTATTTTATACAGGAGGGGTTACTAGCCTCTTGGTCCTGGCATGTTAGTTGCCTCTTACGACACGCATGGCTTACGGAGGAAGAATTCTGTTCCACTTCTCCATGGAGATTGTGTATTCAATATTTTTCCCACCTAGGAAAGTTGATTCAGTCAAAATATTTACCATTACATTCTAGCTGTTTTTCTAGAAGGGTAAAGGTGCCAAGAGACAAGTGTTATACCAGTGAACTCCACCTTTCCTGTACTCTATTTTCAGTGCCAACTCTATTTACCAGCTTCCAAAACTTCAAGGCAGTCAGTTTTGACTCATGAAATCGTAATTACACGGTCTGGAGTTTTATGACTCTGATCGCGGGTTCTATCCCCACCCATGGTATGTTTTTTTTTTTTCTCGTTTTCTTCGTATCTTTTATATACCTTGCTTGTACACTTGTTACATCCCAAAGACTAACTACTGTGCATGTCTGTTCAACTCTTGCACATGCCTACCTGTCTAAAAACTGTCAAAGCTCTTGCTTACAGATCTTTCTGTAAACCATGTGTTTTGTATTTTTGTTTTTCTATACCTATTATAGCCCTGTCAAGTGTTGATACTGTAGCACCATCACAAATGATGTATAATTGACACAATCCCTGCAATATTTGTCCAGAAAAATCTCCATTGTTAATTCTTCAAAGTGATTGATTAATTTATATATATTGGTACTCTTTAATCGGAACTCTTTATATTGGAAATTTAAGCACAGCCCTTAACCCTTTCAGGGTCCCCAGGCCCTCTCCCAGACTTGTTCTCAAGGTCGCCCAAATTTAAAAAAAAAAAAGAAAAAAAAAAAAAAAAAAAAAAAATTCCTATGAGAAGATAGAGAATCTTTTCCCGATCATAATGACAACAAAAGTATGAAATTTGATGGAAAACTTAAGGAATTATGCTCTCGCAAAGTTAGCGGTCTCGACAATGTTTAAGCATCGGCAATTTTACCCATTTTGAGCTCTATTTTCGGCCAATTCCAGTGTACTAGTCGACAAAAATCATAACTATTTCGCTAGAACTCCATTTTTTCTGTCGAATGAGTACAAGAAACCAGTCATTTACCAATTTCAACTATCCAATACAGTGGTCAGAATTTATCAATTTTGCCAATTTCACTCAAATTTCAAAAGATGCCAATTTCCAAATAGGGTCCAGAATAAACAGACATTCCTGGCACTAAAATAACATTTCCTCTGTTCATTAGTCACATCTCAAGGCCCCTCTTACATTATTTTGCTTTCTACTTTGAATTTTTATTCTCACAAAAAATAGAAGATTTACTGTTATGCAAACTACTGCATTAGTGTAGAAATGGTATAAATAATATCAGAGCACTTGTGAAAGAATATTAGACTCTTAGAATATTGGACGCTTAGCATTTGTTACTTTTGAACTTTGGTAAAAATCGAACATTTCTGCTACTTTGAGCTCAATTTCAAGGTACTTTTCATTGCAAAACCAGTCAAAATCATCTCAATTGCTGTAATATGTCTTCCATTCTATAAAATGAGACCAGGAAAACTAGAATATACAACAATAAATACCATATGAAAATAGTGCTAAGTCGCTGTTTTAATCCAAAAACAGAGTCAAAGTTTTTTTCTCTCATTACGCACTGTGTGCTGCAAGATCTCTTTTATACTGCGCACACTGACTACATAGACCCATTCTTTGATATGTAGGCCTACCAGCTTTCTCTCGCTAGATTTGAGGGCGATAGAATTTAGGCGTACTAGTACGTCAAAAACCCTGGTGAGCAAGCCGTACTAGTACGTCCGAAACCCTGAAAGCGTTAATAGAAATGTACAACAATAGAAATGTACAGCTAGATCTCAGTTAGTGCAAGTTCGAGTAGTGTGAATTTTGATTTAGTTTAGAATTAATTAATGCTACTTTTTTCCCCCAAATTCTTCGAATCTTAAGCAGAAATTTCATGTGTAATTTGAATAGTGTGAACTCAAATAATGTGACCACTTCACGGGATTCATTTTTCACACTATTCGAGACCTAGCTGTATTTTTTTTTTTCCCCCCAACAAGTCTGCCGTCTCCCACCGAGGCAGGGTGACCCAAAAAAGAAAGAAAATCCCCAAAAAGAAAATACTTTCATCATTCAACACTTTCACCACACTCGCACATTATCACTGTTTTTGCAGAGGTGCTCAGAATACAACAGTTTAGAAGCATACACATATAAAGATACACAACATATCCCTCCAAACTGCCAATATCCCAAACCCCTCCTTTAAAGTGCAGGCATTGTACTTCCCATTTCCAGGACTCAAGTCCAACTATATGAAAATAACCGGTTTCCCTGAATCCCTTCACTAAATATTACCCTGCTCACACTCCAACAGATCGTCAGGTCCCAAGTACCATTCGTCTCCATTCACTCCTATCTAACACGCTCACGCATGCTTGCTGGAAGTCCAAGCCCCTTGCCCACAAAACCTCCTTTACCCCCTCTCCAACCCTTTGGAGGACGACCCCTACCCCGCCTTCCTTCCCCTATAGATTTATATGCTTTCCATGTCATTCTACTTTGATCCATTCTCTCTAAATGACCAAACCACCTCAACAACCCCTCTTCTGCCCTCTGACTAATACTTTTATTAACACTAAGAGAAAACACCATAAGTGTCCGGGGCCCAAAACTGTTCAACAGCCTCCCATCAAACATTAGGGGAATTGCCAATAAACCCCTGGCTGCCTTCAAGAGAGAGCTGGACAGATACCTAAAGTCGGTGCCGGATCAGCCGGGCTGTGGCTCGTACGTCGGACTGAGTGCGGCCAGCAGTAACAGCCTAGTTGATCAGGCCCTGATCCATCGGGAGGCCTGGTCGTGGACCGGGCCGCGGGGGCGTTGATCCCCGGAATAACCTCCAGGTAACCTTTTCCTAATTTCCACACTCCGAATTTTCTGCATAATATTTACACCACACATTGCCCTTAAACAGGACATCTCCACTGCCTCCAACCGTCTCCTCACTGCTGCATTTACCACCCAAGCTTCACACCCATATAAGAGTGTTGGTACTACTATACTTTCATACATTTCCTTCTTTGCCTCCATAGATAACGTTTTTTGACTCCACATATACCTCAACGCACCACTCACCTTTTTTCCCTCATCAATTCTATGATTAACCTCATCCTTCATAAATCCATCCGCCGACACGTCAACTCCCAAGTATCTGAAAACATTCACTTCTTCCATACTCCTCCTCCCCAATTTGATATCCAATTTTTCTTTATCTAAATCATTTGACACCCTCATCACCTTACTCTTTTCTATGTTCACTTTCAACTTTCTACCTTTACACACACACTCCCAAACTCATCCACTAACCTTTGCAATTTTTCTTTAGAATCTCCCATAAGCACAGTATCATCAGCAAAAAGTAACTGTGTCAATTCCCATTTTGAATTTGATTCCCCATAATTTAATCCTACCCCTCTCCCGAACACCCTAGCATTTACTTCTTTTACAACCCCATCTATAAATATATTAAACAACCATGGTGACATTACACATCCCTGTCTAAGACCTACTTTTACCAGGAAGTAGTCTCCCTCTCTTCTACACACCCTAACCTGAGCTGTATTTAAAATCATTAAATGTTACAACTTCTTAACTTTTTTTTTTTTTTTTTTTTTTTTTTTTTTTTTTTAACAAGTTGGCTGTCTCCCACCGAGACAGGGTGACTCAAAAAGAAAATACTTTCATCATTCAACAAAAAATGGCGATGAAAGTATTTTCTTTTTGGATCACCCTGCCTCGGTGGGAGACGGCCGACTTGTTAAAAAAAAAAAAAAGTGGGTACTACTGTACTTTGGTATTGTATAATTGTAATAAATTTAAACTTTTCAGATTAGAGGGTATAAATGCTGCCGAGAGTGCTCGCCATGAAAAGGAGGCTGCGCGCAACACACTGGAGAGTTACATCTTGGATGCTCAGGATAAACTGTGGCAAGCAGAATACGAAGCTGCGTCTACGGAAGAACAGCGTACGGCTATACGGGAGATGTGTTCTGTTGTAAGTGGGGTTGGAAAATATGTTGCTTACATTATCTGAGAGTTGTAAACACAGTACTTAGGGTTTGCTTCAAGTATGGACATCCAGCAGGTTTCAACCCCCATTCCGCTCCCATTCCATGGTTTGTTTGCAGTTGTGTTACGATTTCGTGAGTCAAGGTGTATGTGAGCGTGTAAGGAGTGAATGGAGATGAATGGTTTTTGGGACTTGATGAGCTGTTGGAATGTAAGCAGGGTAATATTTTGTGAAGGGATTCCAGTAAACTGGTTAGCTGGACTTGAGTCCTGGAGGTGAGAAGTACAATGCTTGCACTTTAAAGGAGGGGTTTGGGGTATTTGCTGTTTGAAGTGACATCTGAACTCCTGTATACGAGTGCCTCTGCAAAGAGTGTGATTGTGTAAGTAATGGTGAAAGTGTTTCTTTTTTGGGTTATTTTGCCTCGGTGGGAGATGGCTGACGTGTTGAGAGAGAGAATATATCTTTAAACATTTATTTTAATTCTCTCTTCCTTGATAAATCTGGTTTAATTTGTTCTTTTTCTGTCTTTGCAGCTAGATGAATGGATATATGATGAAGGTTTCGATCAAGATGCTTCTGTTTACAAAGAGAAACTGGGACTGCTGTCCAAGCTTTTCGGGCCCATCAAGGAGCGTGTGCAAGAGCATCGTGACCGCCCTGAAGCCATCCAGGCAAGAACTACTTTGATTTTGATATATCTTTCTCTCTCCCTTCTGTGTATGCTTGTACTTCTTTGCATACATACTTTCAAAAAGAGAGAATTGGCAGTGCCCGGACAACATTACAAAAGTGAAGGGAGGTGGTTTACTGTCACAGAAAAATTGTATGCTCTGGGGCTTCACATTTGGACGTATTTTAATATGGTTGGAAACATTTATAAAGGAAAGGGGAGACCGCTAACGGAGAATAATAAGACTATAGACGCACAGGCTTCCAGGGAGAACGCCAAAAGTCAGCGCGGTGGTAGCAGACACTTGCGTACCCGTAACCTATCCCGCCATCTGAAGAATAGATGATGTAAAAAGTTTTAAGACTTCTTGTGCTACTCAGTCTTTTATTTTGTATATATACTCTTATTTTATGTATAAAAGAAATATTTGTCTTGAGACATGGATAATTTGCCTCATTTGTAAATATTGTACTATATTTAAAGTTACATCATAAGGGAATGTAATTATCTAATTACTTTTTAATAAAATATTTAATTTAATTTAGTTTTTAATATCCTAATATTCAATAATATACATTTTCAAAGTATTCATTATTAAATTTGTACAAAACATTCCCTTTAGTTCAGCATTTTTCTTAAATTTTGCTAAAATTAACTATAGTATTATCACTGAAAAATAATTAGCTAATCGTAAGCTATTGCTGAACGTCACTGTTTACAGTGTTGAAATATAATTCGTTTTTCAGTGTCTAAAAAGGATTGAGCTAGCACAGCATAGTGATTTTTACCCTTTGAAAAGTTGTAGTTGACCTCTATTGCTCTTAAAAATTACTAGAATCCTGGCTAGACATTTTCAAGCAAAACAAACTTGTATTACTCTTTAAGCTAAAATTTTCTTTGGGTCTTTAAGCTAAAATTCAGTCTTTGGGTCTTTAGGCTAAAATTCAATTTTTGGGTCTTGAAACTAAAATTCAGTCTTTGGGTCTTTAGGCTAAAATTCAGTCTTTGGGTCTTTAGGCTAAAATTCAATTTTTGGGTCTTGAAACTAAAATTCAGTCTTTGGGTCTTTAAGCTAAAATTCAGTCTTTGGGTCTTTAGGCTAAAATTCAGTCTTTGGGTCTTTAGGCTAAAATTCAGTCTTTGGGTCTTGAAACTAAAATTCAGTCTTTAGGTCTTTAGGCTAAAATTCAGTCTTGGGGTCTTTAACCACTTCACTGGCTGTCACAGTACTACGCCATCAGCTCGGCTCACTCAGATAAGCTGTGAGCTGTTAATTTGGGCCTAGATATGAGAAAATGGTTTTACGCTGTAAATCTGCACTACATAAAAACGACTACTTTGCGGTGTATTCTCGTGTGGTTTTTATGGTTGTATTCTTGGTTTCTTGGTCTCGTTTGAGAGAATGGAAAATATATTACAGAAATAATGTTTTTGATTTTCAGAACTGAAAAAAACTTGAAATTCAGCTTAGAGTAGCGGAAATGTTTACTCAAGAGTAAACGAATCACGTCGCTCGTCCAATACACACCCAACTGGTGGGTCCAGTATACATTCACGAATGCACTATTATTTAGACAGTTATTACAATATTTCATAACAGTAATTTTTTTTTTAACTAAGTTCTTTGTATGAATAAAAATCAATATGGAATTAATGTGTAAAGCCTGGAAACATAACTAATTAACAGAGGAAATGCTATTTTAGTGCCAGGAATGCTTGCATTATTTATTCTGGATCCTATTTTGAAATTGGCCAAATTACCAATTTCTGATTACTTTATTGGGTAGTTGAAATAGTTGACTGGGCAATTTCTTGTCCTCGTTCGATAAAATAGAATACTAGTGAAATAGCTAAGAATTTGGTAGACTGGAACAAGGTAATTGGATAAAATAGGACTCGGTGAGGAAAATCCTCAATGCATGAATATCAATGACGTGGCAAAATTTGCAAATGTATAATTTTGTCAGTTTTCCATCAAATTTTGTACTTTGCTTTATTAACTTCAGAAAGATTCTATACCATTTCATAAGAAAAAATAACTTAAAATTTGTTTGAATATTCTTGTACAGTGTGGACAAATTTTGGATTTGGGGTGAAAAGTCTTAGTGCAGAATGATTTGTAATGTTCATACACAGCATTATGTAATCAGGTTCCTACTCGTAATTTCAAAATCCCCACCTAGGATTGTTTCTCATAGGCCCTGCTAGGTGGTCCTGTACTGAGTTAATGTGAGACTACGTGCTGCCTCTACACATTGCCATTACAATTCAAAAATGTGTTCAGGTAGGTCAGCCAGATAGTCTCTGCAGGTGACCATGGTAAACCTTTGGAGATGTAAATGTATTACCAAGAATCCGTTCTCCCTGCTATTCTGAAGTTTTCTTCATCAAACGAGTTGATGTGTACATGACTGGCACAGTGTAACTCTAGGGCCTTGGCAGTTTGTGCTAGTGCACAGTACAGTTTTAAAAGTTACACGACAAAGGGCTGTGAAAATAAGGGAAAAAGATAAAGGTAGATACTTTACAAGAAGCTATATAAGCAACAGATTTCCATGAATGTAATAATTATAATTCACAACAGTTACAAAGGCACCACGAAGCAGTCACCTTTATAGTGAAGAAATGGAATGACCTAAACAGTAAAAGTACAGTAATCCCACTTATAACATGTAGGTTATATCCCTGAAAATGTAGCATTGTGTGAAGTAAAGAACTTGAGGAAAAATAGTTCCAGACACCTCCAAATTTCCCAAACTTTTTTTTAATAATATGCTAGGTAAAAATTAGTTAATCTTTTATATTTGTTGCTTATCAGTATGGAGGGGTGTGGAGAGGGTTGATGGGGTCCTACTGGGTTGAATTTCTGTGGGTTTTAATTTAGAGGCAGAGTTACCAGTAGTTAATGGTTGTATTGGAGTGTTTTGAGTATTTTTTAATGCTATTTTTATTTTTTTTTTATCACACTGGCCGATTCCCACCAAGGCAGGGTGGCCCGAAAAAGAAAAACTTTCACCATCATTCACTCCATCACTGTATTGCCAGAAGGGTGCTTTACACTACAGTTTTTAAACTGCAACATCAACACCCCTCCTTCAGAGTGCAGGCACTGTACTTCCCATCTCCAGGACTCAAGTCCGGCCTGCCGGTTTCCCTGAACCCCTTCATAAATGTTACTTTGCTCACACTCCAACAGCACGTCAAGTATTAAAAACCATTTGTCTCCATTCACTCCTATCAAACACGCTCACGCATGCCTGCTGGAAGTCCAAGCCCCTCGCACACAAAACCTCCTTTACCCCCTCCCTCCAACCTTTCCTAGGCCGACCCCTACCCCGCCTTCCTTCCACTACAGACTGATACACTCTTGAAGTTATTCTGTTTCGCTCCATTCTCTCCACATGTCTGAACCACCTCAACAACCCTTCCTCAGCCCTCTGGACAACAGTTTTGGTAATCCCGCACCTCCTCCTAACTTCCAAACTACGAATTCTCTGCATTATATTCACACCACACATTGCTCTCAGACATGACATCTCCACTGCATCCAGCCTTCTCCTCGCTGCAACATTCATCACCCATGCTTCACACCCATATAAGAGCGTTGGTAAAACTATACTCTCATACATTCCCCTCTTTGCCTCCAAGGACAAAGTTCTTTGTCTCCAGAGACTCCTAAGTGCACCACTCACCCTTTTCCCCTCATCAATTCTATGATTCACCTCATCTTTCATAGACCCATCCGCTGACACGTCCACTCCCAAATATCTGAATACATTCACCTCCTCCATACTCTCTCCCTCCAATCTGATATCCAATCTTTCATCACCAAATCTTTTTGTTATCCTCATAACCTTACTCTTTCCTGTATTCACTTTTAATTTTCTTCTTTTGCACACCCTACCAAATTCATCCACCAATCTCTGCAACTTATCTTCAGAATCTCCCAAGAGCACAGTGTCATCAGCAAAGAGCAACTGTGACAACTCCCACTTTGTGTGATTCTTTATCTTTTAACTCCACGCCTCTTGCCAAGACCCTCGCATTTACTTCTCTTACAACCCCATCTATAAATATATTAAACAACCAAGGTGACATCACACATCCTTGTCTAAGGCCTACTTTTACTGGGAAATAATTTCCCTCTTTCCTACATACTCTAACTTGAGCCTCACTATCCTCATAAAAACTCTTCACTGCTTTCAGTAACCTACCTCCTACACCATACACCTGCAACATCTGCCACATTGCCCCCCTATCCACCCTGTCATACGCCTTTTCCAAATCCATAAATGCCACAAAGACCTCTTTAGCCTTATTTAAATACTGTTCACTTACATGTTTCACTGTAAACACCTGGTCCACACACCCCCTACCTTTCCTAAAGCCTCCTTGTTCATCTGCTATCCTATTCTCCGTCTTACTCTTAATTCTTTCAGTAATAACTCTACCATACACTTTGCCAGGTATACTCAACAGACTTCTCCCCCTATAATTTTTGCACTCTTTTATCCCCTTTGCCTTTATACAAAGGAACTATGCATGCTCTCTGCCAATCCCTAGGTACCTTACCCTCTTCCATACATTTATTAAATAATTGCACCAACCACTCCAAAACTATATCCCCACCTGCTTTTAACATTTCTATCTTTATCCCATCAATCCCAGCTGCCTTTCCCCCTTTCATTTTACCTACTGCCTCATGAACTTCCCCCACACTCACAACTGGCTCTTCCTCACTCCTACAAGATGTTGTTCCTCCTTGCCCTATACACGAAATCACAGCTTCCCTATCTTCATCAACATTTAACAATTCCTCAAAATATTCCCTCCATCTTCCCAATACCTCTAACTCTCCATTTAATAACTCTCCTCTCCTATTTTTAACTGACAAATCCATTTGTTCTCTAGGCTTTCTTAACTTGTTAATCTCACTCCAAAACTTTTTCTTATTTTCAACAAAATTTGTTGATAACATCTCACCCACTCTCTCATTTGCTCTCTTTTTACATTGCTTCACCACTCTCTTAACCTCTCTTTTTCTCCATATACTCTTCCCTCCTTACATCACTTCTACTTTGTAAAAACTTCTCATATGCTAACTTTTTCTCCCTTACTACTCTCTTCACATCATCATTCCACCAATCGCTCCTCTTCCCTCCCACATCCACTTTCCTGTAACCACAAACTTCTGCTGAACACTCTAACACTACATTTTTAAACCTACCCCATACCTCTTCGACCCCATTGCCTATGCTCTCATTAGCCCATCTATCCTCCAATAGCTGTTTATATCTTACCCTAACTGCCTCCTCGTTTAGTTTATAAACCTTCACCTCTCTTTTCCCGGATGCTTCTATTCTCCTTGTATCCCATCTACCTTTTACTCTGTGTAGCTACAACTAGAAAGTGATCTGATATATCTGTGGCCCCTCTATAAACATGTACATCCTGAAGTCTACTCAACAGTCTTTTATCTACCAATACATAATAAAACAAACTACTGTCATTTTGCCCTACATCATATCTTGTATACTTATTTATCCTCTTTTTCTTAAAATATGTATTACCTATAACTAAACCCCTTTCTATACAAAGTTCAATCAAAGGGCTCCCATTATCATTTACACCTGGCACCCCAAACTTACCTACCACACCCTCTCTAAAAGTTTCTCCTACTTTAGCATTCAGGTCCCCTACCACAATTACTCTCTCACTTGGTTTATAGGTTCCTATACATTCACTTAACATCTCCCAAAATCTCTCTCTCCTCTGCATTCCTCTCTTCTCCAGGTGCATACACGCTTATTATGACCCACTTCTCGCATCCAACCTTTACTTTAATCCACATAATTCTTGAATTTACACATTCATATTCTCTTTTCTCCTTCCATAACTGATCATTCAACATTACTGCTACCCCTTCCTTTGCTCTAACTCTCTCAGATACTCCAGATTTAATCCCATTTATTTCCCCCCACCGAAACTCCCCTACCCCCTTCAGCTTTGTTTCGCTTAGGGCCAGGACATCCAACTTCTTTTCAGCAATCAGCAATCGTCTGTTTCTTGTCATCCGCACTACATCCACGCACATTTAAGCATGCCAGTTTTATAAAGCTTTTCTTCTCTTTTTTAGTAAATGTCTACAGGAGAAGGGGTTACTAGCCCATTGCTCCCGGCATTTTAGTCGCCTCATACGACACGCATGGCTTACGGAGGAAAGATTCTTTTCCACTTCCCCATGGACAATAGGAGAAATAAAGAGGAACAAGAGCTATTTAGAAAAAGGAGAAAAACCTAGATGTATGTATATATATATGCATGTGCGTGTCTGTGAAGTGTGACCAAAGTGTAAGTAGGAGTAGCAAGATATCCCTGTTATCTAGCGTGTTTATGGTATATTTTATCCTGTAATACCTTATGGATGATGGTAATGCATCATCAGCTGCTCCAGACTCCTTTTCAGAACACTGCATTTAGATGTGTCAGGGTTCTTTTCCGTGAAAAAGTCCGCAAATTTATCAATAACATGGAATTGCTTATTCAACTTCTTGCTATGTTAACTGTTGATCTCCAGGTTCTTCCTCGTTTATCTGCCCTCTTTCCTGGGAAGCAACCTCCTCCTCCAGCAGTTCTTCTGCAGTTGTTTTCTTCTAACCTTTCATTTATCTTTGTTTTCAAAGCCCTCACATCTTAGTCCTTACCAGAACCACAGTTTCTTGGATCTTACTCCTCAGAGGAGAAATCCAGAGAAATTATTCACTACAGAAGGCCATAATAGACCCCAACATTCATTTAAGGTTGATTGGGGCACTTCAGCCCATGACACCTTCATGTGTGTGATTATGTATTATTTTTTTTTTATTAACACATCGCCTGTTTCCCACCAAGGCAGGGTGGCCCGAAAAAGAAAAACTTTCATCATCATTCACTCCATCACTGTCTTGCCAGAGGCATGCTTACACTACAGTTATAAAACTGCAACATTAACACCCTTCCTTCAGATTGCCATCACTGTACTTCCCATCTCCAGGACTCATGTGTGATAGATTTATATCAGAACTCTGGCACACCTGTCTCAGAGCTCTCGTCTATTGGTACGAGTTTTTCTGCATTATCTTGCATGTGTAGTGGCACTTAAATATCTTGACACCTGGATCCAGTGTCTGTATCAAGGATGTATTGGATGGTAAAAGCAAGCTTAACATTTGGGTCTCACAGACTGGAAGATTGGAGGATGCCTACAATAGTTATGGATGAAGAAAATCTTGAACTCAGCACGCAGTATCCAGATTTTGTGCCTAACTTTATGCAATGTTCTTTCATTTCTTTTGGTGGTGTGCAGTACAGAGTTGTACCTCAGTATCAAAAATTTTATTGCACTTTTTCGGTTGCATTTCTAACAGAACTGCACTCTGAAGTTTTGATAAGCTTTACTATAGATTCATTCAGGTGTTTAAAAGTATACAATATCTGAGAACACTAATTGGTTAAGAGGTTGAAGGTATTTAGAGTAAAATTAAAATAACTGATACTGTAGTATATAAAAAAAATCATGATATATGAAGCCATTGAACATATTTTAAAAGTAATTTTACTCTGAGTTTGCCTGAATGTTTTTGTGTGTGTAATAATGTATAAATTGATTCAACACAAGGAATTAAAAATAGAATAAGTAATATTGAAAAATAAATTATTTAATGTTTCATTATTCCCTATGATGGGAGAGGGGAGGCTACCCTAATGCATGAGCTCTTAATCCTAGGAATAGGAGTTCATCTCTTCTTGGGATCAAATGTGATAACCTACCATTCCCCAGGTGTTATATGACCCCTGTGGATTTAATGTTTTTTTTCACAATAATTCTCTTCCATTAATGATGGACATGTTTCAGGCCTTGCATGACATGATCAACGGGTCATCCATGTTCCTGCAGAGAGCTCGGGAAGCTCCTCCTGAACAGCAGCTCTTTACAGACATAGAGCTGACTACCATGGACAACCTTATTATTGATGTTCAGGTATATTATTATTTACTCTCAAATTTGTTTTTCATGAATTATTTCACACTTGAAGATGTAGAAATCATGTTTTTTTAGTTTAATACTGTCTTCCAAATATTTGGAAGACTTTTTTTTTTTTTTTTTTTTTTTTTTTTTTTTTTTTTTTTCCCCCCCAACAAGTCGGTCGCCTCTCACCGAGGCAGGGTGACCCAAAAAAAAAGAAAGAAAATCCCCAAAAAGAAAATACTTTCATCATCATTCAACACTTTCACCACACTCACACATTATCACTGCTTTTGCAGAGGTGCTCAGAATATAACAGTTTACAAGCATATACGTATAGAGATACACAACATATCCCTCCAAACTGCCAATATCCCAAACCCCTCCTTTAAAGTGCAGGCATTGTACTTCCCATTTCCAGGACTCAAGTCCGACTATATGAAAATAACCGGTTTCCCTGAATCCCTTCACTAAATATTACCCTGCTCACAGTGGATATAAATACTTTAGCCAGTGTAAAACGTGGAATGGTGTATCAGCAACACCTTAATGTTCAAGAATTTTCTTATATATAGAGAGGACTACTTAAACCCCTGTTTATTCATTTTGTTTTATAACCCAAATGTTGCCCATGTGTCTTACCAACTTGTCAGTATTATATACCATTTTGATATTCATAGATACTTGATTTTTACTAATAGAAGAATATAGGAAGGGCTGTCAAACACCAGGTTGAAGTTTGGCATTTTATTTGAAGTGTTGCTCTGCTTGTTACAAATTTTCACCACATTGACAAGTGCCTAAGAAGGAGCTAGTGTATGTCTAGCATTGGCTGGTGATAAAATAGTGTAGTACTCCTTGAAAAGTTGTTTAGTCTCAGGAGTAACTGACATAAACCATTTATTTAAAGCATCTAGTTGGGCTATTATTTATACTGTAGCTAGTACTACTCTACTAGTTGGAATACTATTTAATTATATCTAGCACAATAGTTAAGACATTGAACTGGCGCTCCTGGGACTGCCAGATCAAGAAGTCGCATCATAGCAGTTCATTTGAAATAACTGGCGCTCCTGGGACTGCCAGATCAAGAAGTCACATCATAGCAGTTCATTTGAAATAACTGGCGCTCCTGGGACTGCCAGATCAAGAAGTCACATCATAGCAGTTCATTTGAAATAACTGGCGCTCCTGGGACTGCCAGATCAAGAAGTCACATCATAGCAGTTCATTTGAAATAACTGGCGCTCCTGGGACTGCCAGATCAAGAAGTCACATCATAGCAGTTCATTTGAAATAACTGGCGCTCCTGGGACTGCCAGATCAAGAAGTCACATCATAGCAGTTCATTTGAAATAACTGGCGCTCCTGGGACTGCCAGATCAAGAAGTCACATCATAGCAGTTCATTTGAAATAACTGGCGCTCCTGGGACTGCCAGATCAAGAAGTCACATCATAGCAGTTCATTTGAAATAACTGGCGCTCCTGGGACTGCCAGATCAAGAAGTCACATCATAGCAGTTCATTTGAAATAACTGGCGCTCCTGGGACTGCCAGATCAAGAAGTCACATCATAGCAGTTCATTTGAAATAACTGGCACTCCTGGGACTGCCAGATCAAGAAGTCACATCATAGCAGTTCATTTGAAATGACTGATGTACATTATTTACGTTGAGTTTTTAATTACAGTTCTTCATAAGAACATAATAGTTATTTATAGCACTACTGTTTAATAGTTTTTTGACTAACTTACTTTTTAATACTTAGAAATGGCTGGAGGAGAAAGAAGAGCTGCAAGATAAAACTCCTCTTCATGAAAACCCAAAATTAACCCTTGGAGGTATAGCTGAAAAATGGTCGTCCCTTGACCGTGAGGTAAGCTATTAAAGTTCGTTGAATTATAATTAAGATCGTGTTTACTCGGTAGTCAGAAAATTCAAAGTAGTGTGTTTTCAGTGAAACATAATATAACTGATAATTTTTAACCCTTTCAGGGTTTCGGACATACTAGTACGGCTTACGCACCAGGGTTTTTGACGTACTAGTACGCCTAAATTCTAGCGCCCTCAGATCTAGTGAGAGAAAGCTGGTAGGCCTACATATGAAAGAATGGGTCTATGTGATCAGTGTGTACAGTATAAAAAAAAAATCCTGCAGCACACAGTGCGTAATGAGAAAAAAAACTTTGACCATGTTTTTGGATTAAAACAGCGACTTTGCACTGTATTTTCGTATGGTATTTATTGTTGTATTCTAGTTTTCCTGGTCTCATTTTATAGAATGGAAGACATATTACAGAAATTGAGATGATTTTGACTGGTTTTACAATGAAAAGTACCTTGAAATTGAGCTCAATATAGCAGAAATGTTCGATTTTTACCAAAGTTCAAAAGTAAATAAATCATGCTAAGCGTCCAATACACGTCAACTGGTGAGTCTAATATTCTTTCACAAGTGCGCTGATATTATTTATACCATTTCTACACTAATGCATAACAGTAAATCTTCTATTTTTTGTGAGAATAAAAATTCAAAATGGAAAGCAAAAGAATGTAAGAGGGGTATGGGGACATGACTAATGAACAGAGGAAATGTTATTTTAGTGCCAGGAATGTCTTTCTTGTTTATTCTGGATCTTATTTGGAAATTGGCATCTTTTGAAATTTGTGTGAAATTGGCAAAATTGCTAAATTCTGACCGCTGTATTGGATAGTTGAAAGCGGTAAATGGGTGGTTTCTTGTACTCATTCGATAGAAAAAATGGAGTTCTAGTGAAATAGTTATGATTTTTGTCGACTAGTACAGTGAAATTGGCCGAAAATAGGGCTCAAAGTGGGTAAAATTGCCGATGCGTAAACATCATCGAGACCGCTAACTTCGTGAGAGCATAATTCCATAAGTTTTCCATCAAATTTCATACTTTTGGTGTCATTATGATCGGGAAAAGATTCTCTATTTTTTCATAAGAAAAAATAATTTTTATTTTTTAAATTTTGTCAACCCTGAGAACAAGTCTGGGAGAGGGCCTGGGGACCCTGAAAAGGTTAATGGAGATGACCTGACTGGGTGGACCATTGGTCTAAGCTGGAGGTTCGCATGGATTTGCCCTGTATGGGCCAGTAGGCCTGCTGTAGTGTTCCTTCTTTCTTATGTTCTTATTTGTTTTTTAATTTAGTAATTTATACAGAGGGGTTTACCACATTTTTGGGTCTCCTTACGTCAGTGGGAGATGACCAGTGTATTCAAAAATTTGTTTCTCCTTTCTTGTGCAGATAAAGTATCTTATAAATAAAGCCAAAATCACCAAGGCCAAGAAAGATCGGGAAGCTGCTGAAGCCAAGGCCAAGGCTGACAAGGACGCTAGAGCTGCAGAAAAGGCAAAAAAGAAGAATAACAAGACTGGTGACACAGAGAAGGATGAGAAAGAGAATGAGGAAGCAGAGATTGAAGAGGAGGTAGAGGAAGAGGTGAGCCCCTGGGAGAGAGATAATGGTCAACAGATAGAAGACACACTCACAGAGAGTGAAGGAACCCAGGCAGCAGGTCAGTAGCAGTCTCCACTCAACACTCCACTCTTGATGTAACTAAAGTAAACTCTTTGTATAACAGGCCTGTGTAATGGACTTGGAGAATTAACCCTTAAACTGTCCAAACGTAGATATACATTGATGTGCGGCAGGCTCTGAACGTAGATCTACTTTTTTTTTACATGCTTTCAGTTGGGGAAAATCGAGGTTGGAGCGCTACGCACGTGAACGTAGATCTACGTTTGGACAGTTTAAGGGTACATAAGGAACAAAATCCACTGGGTCTATTTCTGTTAATAAAAGTAATGGACATTTCTGTAAATAATGGACAAAGTCTGTTATTTACGGTAATGTCCATTTCTTTTACTATAACAGCAAAACCATTTCATCTCTTCACCACAATTGCCATTACCTGCCACCTGCTTTCTCTTATTAGTTGGTTATATTAAGGGCTTGCACATAGTTTTTTCATAGTCAGAAATAATTCAGTATTGTACTCCGTGAGCTTTATATCTTTGCCATGACGTGTTTGTATACTCCGAGGTGTTAGTTACAACTTTTATTGAACTGTCTTCTTCAATGGGGATGCGCTGTTGCTGGTGAAGGGTTCTCGATCTGAGGAATTGGAGCTGCCCTCTTTCTGAGATCAAACCTGATTACCTCCCATTCTGTACATACTGTGTGACCCCCAAGAAGTTTGGTACTTTCCCCCTGAATATAGTAACAATGTCAGATTCATGCACAGTATTCTGTACTGTTTGAAATTAGTTTTGGAAGTCTTGTTGCTAAAATAATAATGTTAAAAGGATTAGTTTCAAAAGCCAGTTACATTAACAGATAAAAATCTAAGTTCTGTTGAAACTAAATTCTGCCACATTTACTCATTCTTAGTTATTTTTAGCTTAATATTAATCCCTGCTGGCTGAGAGCCGAGAATTACTGTACGAGTTTACAGTCTCAAGCTGTGATAACAAATATCAAATTTTTTCTTAATCATTTGTTCTGTGAGTAAACTTATTACATGTATGTAATTGTGCCTGAGGAAATTAAAGGTTATAAAATTTATGATACCTGTGTAGAGTACCTGTTGTTAGATAAGACATAGACCCTCCCACAATGAATTTAGCACTTGACATAGAATATTTTATAATATGTATGTAAAATTTGATGAAAATTATAAATATCTGTGTTATTACTGTAATTGCTGTTGAATAGCGGTTTACTGCCAATGGAGGTAGCGTAGGTAGCAATGATATGGCCGTGGACTAGTTTGGCTTTAATTGGATAGGAGTGAGTATACAACGGGCAGTGTGAGGGAATGACCGCAAGCCAGTCAATGGAGGGGGAGCACTTGTGTCTATCAGGTCAGTCGGCCGGGGAGTGAGAGCGAATGAGCCCAGCCTCCCACTGACCTGGGTGAGCCTACAGAGGGCATCACTTAAATGCCGCGAAATATGAACTAGTCAGAACAGACGGCTTAGGCTGTCTGTTCTGACAGTACAGGCTGTCTACATCTGTATATGGCTAAGCGCTTCTTTTTGATTATAATAATAATACATCTGTATAAAGGATGGCATCTGCATATACCAAATCTTAATACATCTGTATAAAGGATGGCATCTGCATATACCAAATCTTTTGATAAACTGACCATAAACAGAAAGAAAAACAAAAGTTTCTCTTTTTTAAATTTAGTAATTTAGTATATACAGGGAAACCGGTTATTTTCATATAGTCGGACTTGAGTCCTGGAAATGGGAAGTACAATGCCTGCACTTTAAAGGAGTGGTTTGAGATATTGGCAGTTTAGAGGGATATGTTGTGTATCTTTATACATATATGCTTCTAAACTGTTGTATTCTGAGCACCTCTGCAAAAGCAGTGATAATGTGAGAGTGTAGTGAAAGTGTTGAATGATGATGAAAGTATTTTCTTTTTGGGGATTTTTTCTTTTTTGGGTCACCCTGCCTCGGTGGGAGACGACCGACTTTTTGAGAAAAAAAAAAAAAAAAAAAAGGGGGGGGGGGTTACTAGCTCCTTGCTCCCAGCATTTTAGTTGCCTCTTACAACTCGTGACTTACGGAGTATATACCCATGGAGTATATACCTAATATTTATAGATATATAACAAACTTGCATATATTATTTGTAGTACATTTTATCAGGTGAGCAAGACGTGAAGGATGATAGTGAAGAAGCGGAAGATGCAGTAGACGAGAGTCAACCTGAGGAATCGGTATATATATTTGAAGAGGAATCAGAGGAAAACAATAGTGAAGGAGACAGGAGGAAAGAAACTGAACCCAATTTAAATGTAGTTGGTAAGTTATATAGTTTTTGTAACAAAGTATTTTTAGGGCGTTGTTCAGTAAAGTTTGTTCCTGTTTGTGGGTCTGGGCTGGGGATTCCATGCATTGTTTGAATGCCTAGTTTCCCAGGCAGGTTTCTAGATTGACAGCCCAGACAGGGACAGCTGGTAAGCTGGACTTGAGTCCTGAAGGTGAGAAGTGCATGCACTCTGGAGGATGGATAGGGATATTACAATAAGAGGGTAAACTGATAGTGATGTCAGCACACTTCTGGTAAGACAGTGATTGGGTGAGTAATGGTGAGTGTTTTTTTTTTTTTTTTATCACCCTGTCATGGTGGGAGATCAATCACTGAGGTTAAAAAGAAAATAAACTTGTATCAGAATGTCAGTGCTTTTTCACAAATGAAATTATAATCAAATAAAGCACTAAACCGACTCACAAATGAAATAAATTTTGCCAGAGATGTCTTTTTTCATAAATGGGTAACTATTTAAGATATTACTATTCTCCTTTAACTAATAATTTTACTTGCATGTAAATGTCAAGTAGGAGCAGGAAATAAGTCACTGTCTGGCTTTTCTGGGTTATCCTAGGGTCTCTACACATGTGCTTCTATGTATAATAATCTAAGTAACTGTATTTGTGTATACCTGAATAAACTTACTAGCTGTGGTGGCCAGTAATAAGGAAATTGGTGAAGGTATGTAGTGACTGATGGGAATAAAGAGGCACAATACACAAATAACTCTCACATGGGAGACCGAAATGTCATCACAAGTTTCACTATCCCATGTGTGGGTTATTTGTGAATAGTGACTGATGGGAAAAAGAGGGGAAATACGAATGAGCCAGTAGTGAAAGGAAAATGGTAGGGGCATTTATCCATGGTGACTAGAGGGAAGGGGAAAAGTCAGTAGGAGCCAGTAGTGAGTGGAATGGTGGACTTGTAGTGAGTAAAGGGGATGGGAAGTCAGTAGTGGCTACTACTATTGAAGCAGTGTTAAATGCTGTTACTTGAAAGAGATTAAGATTTTGCCACCGAAGTGGCTTGTTTATTGTGCACCACATATCCATCTTGTGGACAGTAGCACAAGAGCATACAGATAGATATACAAAAAACCTAGAATCTAGGCCCTGAAAGGGGTAATGGGAGTACATCTGGATGTATATCTGCAGTTCACTTGTCTGTTAAAAGCAAATTTAGGAAATTTGTTTAGTATACTTGCTATCTTATTTTCATTAATAAGATATCTTGACATGTTACATAGATTATACAGTGGACCCCCGGTTAACGATATTTTTTCACTCCAGAAGTATGTTCAGGTGCCAGTACTGACCGAATTTGTTCCCATAAGAAATATTGTGAATTAGATTAGTCCATTTCAGACCCCCAAACATACACGTACAAACGCACTTACATAAATACACTTGCATAATTGGTCGCATTCGGAGGTGATCGTTATGCGGTGGTCCACTGTACTGTCTAGTTACTTGAAAGAGTATATAATTTGTAATGGGCTTCTTTCTGGCCTGTCTCAGTATGTAAAGGTAAGCATTACTAAAAATATTATATACTAAGTATTTTACACACAAAACATTTAGTTTGCCTCCGTAATTATAACCAATTGAAGACTTAACAAGATCGACTTGTTCAGTGTACACACGAGAGAGGTGTAAGGGAAATGCAAGCCAAAATTATATTTAAAAAATGCTCAACAGCAAAAGGCAGGTACAGTAATTTTAAGTTACCAAATGAAGATGATGTCTTGGTGTTTCAATTACAGTGGACCTCCGCTTTACGATCAGGTCCCAATGCGACCAATTATGTAAGTGTATTTATGTAAGTGCGTTTGTACGTGTATGTTTGGGGGTCTGAAATGGACTAATCTAATTCACAATATTTCTTATGGGACCAAATTCGTTCAGTACTGGCACCTGAACACCTGGAATGAAATAATATCGTAAACCGGGGATCCACTGTAGTTTAGTATGTTTATTATGCAGCCCATACCCATCCTGTGGGTGGTAGTCAGAAGATTTCAGAGGTACATAATGGGTCTAGGGACTGGACTCCAAAGTTTTGTTAGCTGAACAAGTTACAAAGATAATAATCATTCACACATCCACACCTGACCAGAGGTGTGGATGTGTGGTGTTTCAGACCTCGTGAAAATTTATTTCCTCGACGTCTAATAATTTGACGATAATTTTAACTTAAATTTTGGTAATATTTTCTTAAAAAAAAAGAGTGGTGAAATTTTCTCCTTTGCAGAATTTTGTTTGAAGAAGCTTTACTTATTAAACAGCCATACCTAGTGTACTGTTGTGGCAACAAGTGCTTCTTTGTCCTGATGAATTATAGATGGCATATAATTCAAATGAATGCCAAGTGTTATTCCTGCCATACTGGAATTATCATTTTTTTCTCATATTTGGCTTTATAAATTAAGCTTATAAATTAAGAATCCCTTGCATTGATTTTTGGAGCAAAATTTTGCTTGTGTTCCTCAGCTCTTGTCCGCCCCTTCTGGATGACTTATCCAGGTTTAACATGGTCGTATGTGTCCTCTGCTTTTGTCATTTTTATCATCCATATGCTGTTCACACACCCGCCAGGCATCAGGTGTGTTGACCCTGGTTGGCAAGTTAACAGTTATATTCCATGAATTCATATTGTTATACTGTTTATTTTCTCTTATTTAGCACTGTAAATGTACTTTTAATTTATTAATTTCAGTTGTTTATGAGTTACATGTCATAAATATTTATTTTTTCCTTGCAGATGAGAAAAGCGAGAACAGCCACAATGAGTTATGAGGCCTGTTCGCAGATCTTCGGCTGGTCGTCACTGATGACTTGATCACAACTTTAATGCTATTGTCAAGTTCTAGTGATCCCTACGAGCTCAGAACTTAAAAGGCATTATTTTATTGATCATAATGCAACGTTTTAAAAAAAAAAAGATCTCCTATTTCAACCAAATGTGAATGTATTTTAAAATATTATTTTTGGGAGGACTTAACAAGACTTCCTGACCACCTCTTGAGTAACTTCAAAAAGATTATTCAGAGTGAAAACTAACCAGTTTTTCTTAGTTTTGACTTGGGTTAGTGTCTATAAATATGTTTAAGCACAAACCTTTAAATGTTTCTGTAAACCTTACAAATATCATTGAAGATTTTGATGTGGAACATAAAATTTTGATGTGGAACATAAAATTTTGATGTGGAACATAAAAAAATGTTTATACGTTTTGATTGTTCCTTCCTATAGGAAATTATGTAAGGGTTAATGAAACTCTAAATCAATGGCATAAATGGACCCACATGGCTAAAATAAGAGCACTGTCTTATTGTGATCTACCTCTGAAGCACTTTTCAGCGGACTAAAGAGGGCCTCATTCATAGGCCCTTTTTAGCCTGCTGTTATTTTGCCGCTGAAGCGGCTAGTCTACTGTGCATCCCATGTCCATCCTGTGGATGGTAATGCAAGAGCATATGGATACACAAAAGACCTGTGCTCTTGTGCTACTATCCACAGGATGGATATGGGTTACACAACAAATTAGCTGCTTCAGAAGTATGGAGCAAAATTGGTAGAGTCAGGCAATTCGTAAACAGCGGATGAAGCTCATTGTTACTGTTAGTCACTGGAATAGTCTTATCCATCCACCACATTCACTATTACTGGCCAACTGCTGCCCCTTTGGCCCTTTAAGTCAAGGGTTTGCTGTCTTGTTCACTTTTTTTAATCCCTGTGGGATCATTCATGACACTGACCAGTGTTACACCTATATTCAAGATACAAGTCACCATCACTTGCTGCAAACCTTAACATTCATCACAAGTGCTCGTCAAGTGTGGCTCATCAGTAGCTAGGTCATTTCCACTACTGTATTTATTCCCAAGATACTTTACATAATGTTGAGAAAATTTGTTATTAGTTTTCAATACTATATTTTCCAAAGTTACTCGTTAATGTTGTAATGTGCTGTATTTGCATGAGGTTCTTATGCTAGTAGAATTGATAATAGATCTGACCTTGTAGTTAATACAAAGATATCCAACAAGTTTATCGTTATATTTTTTTTGTTTTGATACAAGATAACTTTCATTTTTGTTACAAGCCACATTGTTTTCCCAGATGAAAACAGTTTAACTTCATTGTCATGTAAGTGGTGCTCTGCGATGACAAGCCAACGTGGAGCCCTTGTGGTGCTCTGCGATGACAAGCCAACGTGGAGCCCTTGTGGTGCTCTGCGATGACAAGCCAACGTGGAGCCCTTGTGGTGCTCTGCGATGACAAACCAACGTGGAGCCCCTTTTGGTGCTCTGCGATGACAAGCCAACGTGGAGCCCTTGTGGTGCTCTGCGATGACAAGCCAACGTGGAGCCCTTGTGGTGCTCTGCGATGACAAGCCAACGTGGAGCCCTTGTGGTTTCTCTGCGATGACAAGCCAACGTGGAGCCCTTGTGGTGCTCTGCGATGACAAGCCAACGTGGAGCCCTTGTGGTGCTCTGTGATGACAAGCCAACGTGGAGCCCTCGTCAGTAGTGGGATTCATGCTAAATGTGTATTGAAAAGAAATTAATAAAATATAAAAATTATCTACAAGGTTCATATTATTGTTTTGACAAAATTTGTTACTGAAATGGGTGATGCAGTATATTAAATGAGTTGCTAATGTGAATATACATAAATGTTAATATATTTTTATAAATTTACCTATTTAACTTTGGTTTGGTGGAAATAGTGTAATGTTGAGAGCATTTTTGACACGAGTTTTTTCCAAAGGAAAACTACGTAATGGGCGGTCACATTCCACGTGAAGTTATCTTCCTTGAGTTAGACTTATTTGTTTCTCGGGGAATTTGAGAGCTGTATATGTATTGGTAAAATTTTATATTAAATTGTGTTGTATATTGTTAGTGATGAGAGTACACCGACTAGTAATGCTTACTCATGTACTCAAGAGGTGCACCTACCACTTTCTGGAAAGGTTTTTGGTATCACTTTGTCAATAAAAAAAAAAATCACAATGTAAAAAAAATTGCAGAAAAACGAAAAGCTTGCAAAGTCCATTCTCTCCCTGGAGAAGCAAGGAGTTGGAAATACATATTTTTTTTCTTTGAAACTTGCAAATAATTCAGTTGGTTTTAGCGCGTTTTTGTGAATACAATAAACGTAGGGTAAATGTCATTCCAGATATGTATTGGGGATTTGACTGTAATTACAAATGTGCTTTTATGGGAGTGTGTTCCATCTTTGTCCAGCTTCTTAACTTTAACTGACATGATTGACATGCAAAATTGTTTTGACACTTGTAAAGAAATCTCTCTGAATAGGGGGTTCAAACCTATGGCAAGCTAGTCCTTTAAATTAGCAGACCATTATTTTATTCACCATACCATGCTGGCTAATGGTGTTTTAGAAGTACGCCTAGTTGGGTGAATCTTCTTGGGCCAGCATGGCACAATGGATGCAACACTAGGACTGACTTGCCATGGGCTCGAAGCTGCAGTTGGCATGACTGAGCCCTGTCATAACTACTACTGAACTCCTGTATGGAGTTTGCTTCCACTGTGTCACTGCTTAGATCATTCCACCAATTTACCAATATTGCATTGAGGAAATATTTTCTAATATCTCTGTGGCTCATTTGGTTGTGTAATTTCTGACCATACTCCTCTGTCCTCCGTTTTTTTTTGCATCCCTAGTCAAGAGCCTTTACGTGCTGACGTGGAGTTTTACAGCTCACTCATCATGAGTTCAGTCTCCACCCTTGGTATTGTTATTTTTAAAAGAGCTTTTTCTTGTCTCTGCTGTATTCCCATAATACTACGTTATCACGATTCCTCTTGTTCTCTAGCAACTTAACCTCTTCAAGGGGGGCTCCTTGGCGTGGTGAAGAGGCTCTTGGTCTGAGGAATTAGCCCTGTCGGTCTTCTTCCTCAGACCGAACCTAATTACCCCCCATTCTCCCCTCCCCTATCCCATCCTCCCCATCCTCCCCTTTTTCCATTCCTCCTCCTCCTCCTCACCCCTCCCTTTTGCCCTTCCTCTTTTTAGCCTTCGTGATTTCTCCCACAGGCGTGCTGTTCCTAGGTAGGGGAAAAAGGACACCGGGGGTCGATTTCCCCTTCGTTGAGGTTTCTTGGCGGTTGGGCGTAGTTTGCCCTGGAATCTGGGATTGCCTAGGGTGTTTCCCGATCCCTCTCCCGGGATCCCGGAGTAGCTTTGGGTGTCTTTTGGGCGACGGGTGTATCTCTGGAAGCCACCTTTCGGATTCCCGGGGGTGGTGGCTTGGAAGGAGGTATGCTTTGTGGCGGATATCGGCCGCCCTCTCTTATGTCCACCCAGGTAGCTCGGCAGATGTGAGGTTGCTATCCCGGATTGCTGGTTTACTGGCATGAAGGGTAGAGGTATGGCACGGGTTCCATGCTGCATCTGCGCTTTCTGCGGTTTTCGAGTCCTCTTGGGCGCGGAGGGAGATTTCCCGGGCCCCTTTTATTTCTCCTGGGAAAATATTCCTCCCGCTCCCCCTTTTTTTTTCTTTTTTTTGTTTTTATTTTCTTTTCTTCTTTCTTTTTTTTTCTTAAAAACAAAAAGCAAAGGAGTAAAACCCAACCATGGCAGCCCTGCCTGAAACCACTACCCCCGGGGCCCCTTTTTGATACCGCACCCCATTCTGACCCTGCCCTTTTGTTTAGACCACTCTTTTGGGGCACTCCTGATGCCCCTGTACCTCTTGCTGGTTGCTGTTTCCTCACCCGCTTCAGGTACCGGGGGGCTTCGACTGACTCCTTCGATTTGTCTGAAACTCCGCTCTCCTTTGACTATGCTTTCCCGGCTTCTCCCCCTACGGTACGGCAATTTTCGAATCGCCCACCCATTTCATGCCGGACCAACTCCGGTCCTACTCCTAAACGCCAAACGTCAATCTCCCGATGATGCTCCGTCGTTACCTTTTCCCCTTCTACTCGGAAAAGACCGACACGTCAAGCACTCCCTCTCCACGCTCAGTTTCGGACCACACAATGGACTAAATTCTTTACTTTAAGACCAACTTCTTCTTCTGCCTACCTTTCTGACCATAGTATTGCCAAAGCGCTCCTGCGTCATGTTGGCAGTGGGTATTTCATTTTTACGCTCTCAAGAGCGGTACGCGCATCGTCACTGTCCAGAATGCTACCCAAGCTCATGATCTTTCTCTCCTTTCGAATATCGATACTACTCCTATCACTATTGAAAAAATCTTTCTCTCAATTCTTGTAGTGGTACTGTCTTCTGCCCCATACCATAGTCCAACAGAATTTCCAGTCATGTGGCAATGACATTTGTAACAGCTGGAACTCCGGATCTCCCAATCCTCAAAGTAGACACTTATGCCCTTTCCCTGCCGGGGGCGGAGACGTTCCCCTTGCAATGTGGCTCGTTTAACTTTTGACCCCGAGAACCCCCGTCCTCTGTATATGTCGCGGGACATCGGTTAAAGTTCGAAAGGTGATACCTACACCGCAACAATGTAGAAATTGCTGGCGTTTTGGTCACCCAGCGAAATATTGCAGATCTAGGGCCGAATGCCCAGTCTGTGGTCCCGACAACCATTCAAATACATCTTGCAGTCAACCTCCATCTTGCCTTAATTGTAATGAAGCTCACCCTTCTTTACTCCCGCCGTTGCCAGGTCTACTTAAATGAACGTGAAACCCGTTTGCCTCAAGAGGCAGAAGGTCTCCCTTTTGCTATGGCAGTTACTCATCTCCGCCTCCAAGGGAGACTACCCCCTGTTTCTTATTCTCGTGTTTCAAACATCCCCCACTTCTGGGGTCCCATCTTCTGCAGGCCCCCTCTGTTGTTACCCCTCCCATAGCCATTACGGCATCTAAAACCTTTTGCTGTCCTTGGCTCTGACGTCCCGATACAACTCAGTCTGTTCTCACATCTTCGGTCCTTCCTCACAAGCCCCAGTATCGCAAAGACCTCGTACGACACCTAATACCAATCGCCCCTCTACTCAGAAGTCCAAAAAATCCACATTGCTCAAAATCTTCTTTGCCCCTTCCTTCCTTCTTCCACCTCCCCACGTTACCTTCCAGTCTTGTACCTTGTTCTTCCCCCCTTCTGGCTCTATTACAAGTGTGGAGATTCACCCCCCTCCTCGTACTATGCCTTCCACCCCGTCCCCCCCCAAGTTTTTCCCTCTTCTGTCACCTCCCAGGTTTCTACCTCTTCTGTCCCCCCCCACACTTTATCTCCAGTCCCTTACACTTTTCCCTCCCCCTCTTTCTTTGGTTTAAATCCATTACTGTCCCAATCTTTATCACCCTCCTCTCCTATCTCCAAAATGGTTTCCCATACATCTTTGAATTCAGAAACACTTGAAGCCATTTCAGAATATATTGCAGAGACTAAACCTTCAATGGACACTGATTCACTTCCTGTTCCTTCTCTTCCCTCTCCTCCATCTTCACAACCCATTCTTCGCAACGCTCCGTTCCCTTTGTTACTTGAACATTTCCAATGCCACCACACGTTGACTTTTCTAACCCCTCTAGTCCGTAGGTGCCTTTACCTACAGATTCCTGATATTTTTTTCATCGCCAATCATGGCCTATTTACAGTGGAATATCCGCGGCCTCGGGGTAATCGGGGTGAGCTTCAGATGTTGCTTTCCGGTTTTCCCTGTTGGTGCTTGCTTACAAAACCCCAAAAA